ACTTTTCTGTCCACATAGTGACACTTGTTGAAAATGAAATAGAAAATATTAATCATGCTTTTTTTTTTCATGACAGGAAATTCTAGCCTTTTCCTAAGATAAACAGTATTTGGTGCATGTGTAGAAGGCTAGTCAGTCAGAGGTGAACCAACAATTTTAATGCAGAAGAATTAGAGGGAACAGGATATTACCAATAAATGTACATAAGGGTTAGTGAAAAGCTGATGTGCCTTAGAATTCTGATAAAAATATCACCAGCTGCAACGTTTTCCCTTCCTTTATTTTCTTCAGTTTAAAGACATTTTTATACCATTCATGACAGTCAACATGATTTTCCTTTGGCCTTCCTTTTTTTACACATCTGCTGGCCCTCTTTATGTATTAAACAATCTTATCCACAATGTGATGAATTCCATTGATTTCTTTTTGACTCTATACCTTGTCATTGTGATTCCAGCACCTTTTACTCATTCTTCAGCTACGAACATGGATAATGGAATCCAGAGAATACTTACGTTTGGAAGACTTTAGAATGCAGTGGAGAGAACTTGGGAACTAAGAAATGGTGCTGCTTTTTACAAGAAGTATGCATATAGAAAAGTCCCCACATTCCTTAACTTTCCCTTTCTACATGTGCAATATCAGGACGAAAACGTCCTTTCATTCATTCAATAAATATCCTTTGGATGGTAACTGTGTGTCAGTCATTATTTTAGAGCCGAGGAACACATTCTTTGGGGATACATGGCAAAACTACTTCCGTGTGTGAGTGTGTGTGTGTCAGAGAGGGAAAAGTGTAATGGGAAAAAAGTGAAACAATAAAGAGGAAAAGGATGTGTGCTGGTGTATCGTGGGGTTAGGAAAATTGCTCTACACATTAATAAAGGTTAGACAGCTAAAATCTAAGATTGCTGCACAATGACCTTCCCCACAAATATTTACTGCCAATTTCAGTGTCCAAACAGTTAAATTAAGAAATTTGCTTTATAATAACAAAGATAACTTATGTCAAAGTGCCTCTTTTTTTTTTTTTTTCTGAGGGAGAGACAGCATGAGATGGGGAGGATCAGAGAGAGAGGGAGACACAGAATCTGAAACAGGCTCCAGGCTCTGAGCTGTTAGCACAGAGCCCGAAGCGGGGCTCAAACCCACGAACCGTGAGATCATGACCTGAGCGCAAGTTGGACGCTTAACCGACTGAGCCAACCAGGTGCCCCTGAAAAGTGCCTCTTAAATCTCCAAAGTATTAAACAAATACAAAATTTTCTTCTGCATTGAAACATATCAGAGTATTTACAATAGAGGACTTTTTCAGTTATACTTTACCAAGACAAGAAAGACCATAAAATATGTAAACAGAAATAATGTGTCATTGACAAGTCTCGTAGGGTGCCCTGGCAGGATCAATGGGTAGAACATGTAACTCTTAATCTCAGGGTCCTGAGTTTGAACCCCACGTTGGGAATAGAGTTTACTCAAAAAACAAAACAAAACAAAACAAAAAAAAGGGAGAGAGAGAAAAAGAGGGAGAAAGAAAGTGATCTGGCAAAGCCTCTAGATTTTGGAAAAGGAAAAAAGAAAAGTTTGTTATCTCTGTCTCTTCTTCCTGCAGTTCTCTGTTTAATTTGCTGAGTAACTCAGCTTGTATTTATAGGCTATGCAGAGAAAGAAAACAAAATTAGAACTAATGTTATCAGGGGCTCCTCTGACCCTGAAAAACTCTATACTTTCCCAGCATGTTTCATAACACCGTCCGAGCCATGTAAGGGTGATACAAATAAAAGTAAGTCTATTTTTATGGAACATAGATGTGAACATAGGACCTTCAGATTTTGGCTTGTGTTATCAAAGATCAAAAAAAAAAAAAGATGTATGACAATCATTAAAAGGAAAACAAAAGAAAGTCTAGAGGCTGAGCTGTAGGAAAGGAATATCACCCGAGGCTTGGATTTCAGCTTTGCTACTTCTGGCGTTAAATGTTCAGCTTAAAGCATTCATGAATCAAGAAGTGAGCCCAACATATTCTTGGCAATTTCCAAGAAGAATAAATAGGATATTTTTATATCTCAACCAGTTACCCAAGACCTAGAGAAGGTAGAAACCACACACAAAAAAAGGCCACTTATATTTCATACTTCTTGAAAACTTCTGCTAATTGAACAAGAAAATGTTTACAATAATTACAAAGGCTTCCAAATGTCCATGATCTTACATTTACATATTTGATTTAATTTAACTGTACATTTTCCGAAGTTACACATTTGGCTACTAAGACCAGAGTAAAGATTTTCAAAAAAGTGTCATTTGAACTTACTCTCCATTCTTAATTGTCACTAAGTCACAATTATTTTTCAGTGTTTCTGTATATTTTAGGCAGAAAAAAAGTTGATGTAAGTCAGTGACAGAAAGGACAGAGAGCAGAGGAGTGAAGGTGGAAAGAAAGCTTCAAGACTTGGTGTGTGAATAAAGGCAGCTGAAGAAGAGAAGGAAGGTCAGAGTAATTCCCGGGGTGCGCTGGGAGACAGAGGTTATTATGCGCTGCTAAGAGGAGTTAACAGTCCACTTGGAATCAGAAATTATGCAGAAAGGGGCGCTTGGATGTCTCAGTTGGTTAAATGTCCGACTCTTGGTTTTTGGCTCAGGTCATGATCCCAGGGTCAGCTCTGCACTGAGCATGGAGCCTGCTTGGGATTCTTTCTCTATTGCTTCCCCTCCTCCACTCATGTTCTCTCCTCTCTCTCTGTCTCTCTCTGTCTCCCAACTAAAAAAAAAAAAAAACTTACTTGGATGGAAGCAAAGGTAGATTAATGGTGGAATAACCATCTGAATTTACTTATTTGCTTATGATTGGGAGCCACTGATTATTCTGAGACACAAAACTCAGTGACAAAAATGGATTTGGGGATTAAGAAAATTGATTATTTGATTTTTTAGCACTTTAATTAAATTTGACATTTATTTAAAGTGGGAGTTTTGAGGGGCGCCTGAGTGGCTTAGTCGGTTAAGCGTCCGACTTTCGCTTAGGTCATGATCTCACAGTTCGTGGGTTCGAGCCCCGCGTCGGGCTCTGTGCTGACTGCCAGCTCAGAGCCTGGAGCCTGTTTCAGTCTGTGACTCCCTCTCTCTCTGACCCTCTCCTGCTCACGCTGTCTCTCTCTCTCCTAGAAATAAATAAATAAATAAATAAACATTAAAAAAATTAAAAAAAAATAAAGTGGGAGTTTTGAGCAATGATGGGTTTAAAGTGAAAATATTTAAATCATGCGAAGTTTGGGCTCCTTAAGTCAGGCAATGTCTTCCATGTTGTTTTGTTTATTTTCTACCTCACTTTTAAAATTATGTGAGGTGTGTAAGGAAAGAAATTTTAAATTGAAAGATTATTTTAAGTGAATTGACAAAGAATTCAGAGGGAAGGAGATAACAGAAAGGGGAAAAGAAATATGTACAAGAGATACCAAAGGGAAAATTAGTAAACAAAATATCTGCTATGAGATCTTGTGTAATTACTGTATTGAAAAGTAAAGTCTAATGCTCTGCTAGCTAGAGAAAAAATGAAAATAAGATTATTTATAAGATAAATGCCTAGAACTTACTTAGGAGAAGGGAAGCTTTTCTGTCCGTGAAGGTTTAACTATACATATAGTTATATATATGATTATTATATATAGTTATATATATGATTATTATATATAGTTATATATATATGATTATTATATATAAGTATTTATATTATATTCATTGTATACATTATGTTTTATATTTATATAAACATTTTATTTATATTATATTATACATGTCATGTCATGTTATATGTTATTTATATATTATATATTATGTGGATATATTTATAATACAAATTATGGTTTATATTATATTTATATGTTTATATAGTATATTTATACAGTATATTTTATATATTTATATTATTATTTTTTTATATATACATTTATATATCTGCTATAAAACTATATAAGAGCTACCCTAATGACAAAATAGCATTCTCACTAATATTCTTACATTAGTACAACAGCTAGCTTTCTCTGGCTGTTCTTAAAACTCGTTTCATGTGAGCTGCAATAACAATTTGAAAACACATTTTATAAAGTTAAATGTGTGGAATCCAGATTATACTCTGATGTGCAGGGCTCTGGGAACCTGTCCCTTCCACAAATAGCTCTTCCTACAGGCACCAGCATACTTGAAATTACACAATTTCATTTATTCAAGATTTGTCACTTCCTAGAAATTCACTTTAACGTGAAAACATTACTGAAAGACAATACCTACATCACTGACTCTGCTTTGTTTCACTTTACTTGATGGTTTTTCTTTGCTGCCTAAACATAACGTGTATGAAGGCTACCTCCTGTAGAGTCCTCAAATTTTTTAAAAATATAATCTGCAAAAGATGCAAAAATTTAGATGAATTGTAGGTTATAATTAGAAATGGTGCCTTCTAGACACGCCTGAGTGGCTCAGTCTGTTAAGCGTCCGACTTCGGCTCAGGTCATGATCCTACCGTTCGTGGGTTCAAGCCCCGTGTCGGGCTCTGTGCTGACAGCTAGCTCAGAGCCTGGAGCCTGCTTCAGATTCTGTGTCTCCCTCTCTCTCTGACCCTCCCTGCTTATGCTGTCTCTCTCAGAAATAAATAAAACACATTTTAAAAAAAGAAAGAAAGAAATGGTGCCTTCTAACACAAGACCCTGAAACATCTACTAGAGCTCATATTAAATCAAATTATGTTAGACTTGCTCCTCACAATGGAATAGACTATGTATCTGTTCGTGTTTTATCCAGGAAATTTTCATCAGAAAACAGTTCATTTACATAATACAATTTAGACTCCACTAAGGTTAAGATGAAGCATGAACTTTTGTTCTTCGAAAGGATACACATAAGGAGATATTCCTTCATTCAGCGTCGAAGATAAGAAAACAAGAAACAAAGGCCATATCTACTCCTTCGCTGCAAATTATTATTTTTATGTTTTTATGGTCAAGGTCCATGTATCTCTGAACAGCTATGAAAGGGCTTCCTGGAAGAAAAAAGATCCAAAGAAAAACAAAAAACAAAACCAAAAAAACCATGTCCCCCAAGTCCTATGGCTCCACCTTACCAGAGAGAGGAGGATCACACACTGGCAGACATTGAAATCATAAGACTGGACATTACAAGTTTGCAAAGTCATTGAATCCTAAGCTCACTTGTAGTCCAAGGGAAGTCATGCAGGATGAAGATGGATACATCACTTTAAATATTAAAGCTCGAAAACCAGCTCTCACGTCAGGTAAGAATGCCCAGAGCCAGAAATTTGGAAATGAATTATTGAAATAGGTCAATTGTACTTTCCTTTCTCTGCTAGTGGTAGCATGTATAGCTTTATTTTCCTGATGACTTTCTTTCTCTTCAGAATTTGAATAATATCTACATAGGCTTAGATATTTAGAATATAAGCAATAAAAAGTAAAAGCAGGGAGCAGTACATTAAGGGTGATACAATTTACTGATGGAAGGAATAGAAACCAAGGGAATAAGCTTTATACAGTTTAATACTGGAAAACCAAAGGAATAAGGGGAAAGAATGTTTTAAAACTTTATTTTCTAAAATGTCAGCAAATGAGTCTGATTCTTTAGCTGTGGTTTATAAAAGCAATTATTTATGGGGGTGGGTACAAAACAAAACAAAGACAAAAGATCAAACAAACAAACACCTTAATAGTTATTATTCACTCAGAGAGTCAAAATCTATTGGAGAAGGATGGATGTGAGGCATAGGAATGGTTTGTGCTTGCTTTGATGATCACCAGAAGACACTAGCAATATCTGGCAATGAAGCCCAGATAACCTTGAGAGAACATGCGCAGAGGCGATACTGCTGCATAGCTATTCTGTACTGCCTGTCCCCTGATGTCTTTATTGTGTTCCCACAGTTGACTCTGCTTCCTCACCTTTGTGGCGTGTGATGGCATGGATTCTGCTGATCTTGTGCGTGGGGTTAGTTATTGGGCTGGTGGCTCTGTGGATGGTGTGTAAGTATTGACTCATTGGGAAAGACTTGATCTGATGAAAAGCAATACCTAAAGGTCCTGGTGGATGCCATCAAGCTAAATTGTCACAGTGTGTCTGTTTGTTACTACTTCAATCATATTCGTGGCTGCCAAGATAGTCTCCATAAAGGAGAACTCTGACTTTTCCCTTCTGCTTAAAATCACTTTGTTGGTTTACTACTTAAAATTATTTTTGAGAATTTTAAACTGGTCTTGAAGATCCTCCTCAGTATAGATCCCCACTATCTTTTCCAATATTTTTCTCCCTGTCTTGCATATTCTAAGTCCCAGCCAACATGGCGCTTTCTCAGTTTCCCGGCCTGAGATTTTGCTCATATTCTATTCCCTCTTCCTAAAATGTCCTCCTTCCCATTGTGTTTAATGAGTGTGTTTACTTTCAGTCAGAAACAATTTGTATCCCACCTGATTTATCACTTTTGTCTTTTTATAAATCTAAAATTTATAAAATTTTATCATTATCATCCATGTAGCTGGTTTGTGTACCTGTTTATTTTTCATAAGATATTTTAGAATTTTTCATTTGCCATCTTTTTTAAGAAAATGTGAATAGTATTGTTAAAAATTGTTAAAAATTTTTAAATGTCTCATTTATTTTTGAGAGAGAGAGAGCATGAATGGGGGAGGAGCAGAAACAGAGGGGGACAGAGGATCTGAACCGGCATCTCTATTGAGAGCAGAGAGTCCAATGTGGGGGCTCGAACTCACTAACCATGAGATCATGATCTGAGCCGAAGTCTGAAGCTCAACCAACTGAGCCACTCAGGTGCCCTTCATTGGCCATCTTATATTCACTTGAATATCACAATAAAAATATTGTTGTGAGTACAACAAGAAATCAATATGCGTTTAAAAAATTTTTTTAAATGTTTTTTATTGATTTCTGAGAGAGAGAGAGAGAGAACATGAGAAGGGGAGGGTCAGAGAGAAAGGGAGACACAGAATCTGAAACAGGCTCCAGGCTCTGAACTGGCCATCCACACAGAGCCCCACGCAGGGCCCTCACGAGCCATGAGATCATGACCTGAGCTGAAGTCGGACACTTAACTGACTGAGCCACCCAGGCGCCCTAATATGTGTTTTTTAAATCAAAAGATATTTTGATATTAAGTGAAAAACAAAATAACATGCCATTCACCTTTGAAATCTGCTTATCAATCTGTATTGAAGGAAATACCAAAACATCCACTTGGGGCACGTAATTTGATCAGGGCGTTTTCTTATTTGTGATGGTCTCCTTCATATAATTCAGCTTCTTTTGGATAACCACCAGGTGTCAGTTTTGCGCAGTTCTTAATTTGTTCCTTATACCCTACCCCCCTTTTCCCAGACCCTTTTGCAGGACTCATTTACTTATGTGTATTTAGTAAACACTTCACAGTTTGACAATTCTACTGAAATTAAAGTTCATTTTATCCTGATCACAAATTATTATCTAATTTTTACATCTAGCTGCCACAGAGCAAAACTACCTACTAGCGGAGAATAAAAATTTCTCAGGAACTCTGCACCAGCTAGCACAGCAGTTCTGCCAGCATTTAATAAAAGGATCAGAACAAAAGAGCAGTGTCAGTAAGTATGGTTTTGTAACCTCTTCATCTCCCCTCTCCCTCTCCCCCCCGGCCCTCCCAGGAGTATTTCTGTGATGTGTCTGTAGGGAATCTGGAGATCTGCAGGAAATATTGAATATAAGGAAAAAGCAAATGTAAAAAGTAAGGATGCCTATGCTTGGTTTCTCCTTAAGGCCATAAATGCAGCCCATGTGACAGAAACTGGAGATATTACGGCAATAGTTGCTATGGATTCTTCAGGCACAATTTGACATGGGAAGAGAGTAAGCAGTACTGTATTAACATGAATGCCACTTTGCTGAAGATCACCAGCCAGAACGTTCTGGTAAGGAGATTTTTCTGTGAAATATTTTGGAGTCATAAGGAGAAAAATCTTAACTGACACATTTGATTTAATAGATAGATAGATACACCACACACACACACACACACACACACACACACACACACACACACGTTTCTAATGTCTTCCAGTTTGTACTAGTCTGAGAACCTTATCAAGCCCAGTAGAAATGACCACATCTGAGAGTAAAAAGTGTTAAAAAGAACCAATGAGACTTAGAATTCTGGTGTTACTCTTGTGACAAGTCATTTAAGCTTTCTCAGCTTCCTTAACTTCATTTACTAATTCACAAAAGAATCTGAAAGTATAAAGAAACTCAATATCATTGTAAAACATGAATAACAATGTCATCTCCATAGTACATGACTCCCCAGTCTCTGCTAAATTATTGAACAGTTGAACTTGAACAAACCATGATACGAACTCCACCTTTTCAAAGGCTCTTCCGTAGTTTGGGGAACAATCTCATTTGCGAAATACACAGGATTTCAGTTGAAATTTTTCTGGGAAACGTGTTGCCTCTTCCACATTTTCCTCTTTGACAGCTTCTAACAAAGGCTCTATTATGAAGCAAAATGGGTTCACATCCACTCATACACTCTCTCTTTATTATTTAGTATAGCTTTTCTCTTCTTTGTGAATCTTGGGAGCAAAGCAGAAACCAAGCCTTGGAGTCTTCCTTCCACCAAATTATAGGTTTACTTATTTTCTATTTTTTTAAGTAATAAGCTTACTAAAACATTTTTTATTTTTTTAATTGTTAAAAGTTTATTTATTTTGAGAGAGAGAGAGAAAGAAAGAGAGAGAGCTATCAGGGGAGGAACAGAGCGAGAGGGAGAGAGAATCACAAGAGGGCTCCACTCTGTCAGTGCAGACAGAGCCTGATGCAGGACTTGAAACACAACCATGACCTGAGCCAAAACCAAGAGTCAGAGGCTTAACTGACTGAGTCACCCAGGTGCCCCTAAAACATTTTTAAAGGCATAAATTATCTATGGAATTTATCCTACAACTTCTATTATGATAACTATTCATATGCTGTATGTTAAAAATGAATGCACGTATAAATTACAATACAAGATCAGTATTTGGCTTCTGTGCAGAGATTACACCAAATTCAAATGGTCAACCAGTCATAATCTCCAGACCTGCTTTGGTTGACCAGTAAAATTGACTTCTACTTTCCTGAGCTGGAGTCCACAGAAGTGGACCAGACATGAGGAGATAATGCCGGTGACACTCCTGATCATTTGTGTGTCCTGCTAGTTTAACTATCTACTAACTCTTTTTGTGGACTCAAACTCAGAGAAGGTATTCAGATAAATAAATTAATTTTCTTTCCAATCAGGCAAAATAAGAGAGTGTCCTAAAACCTTGACGTCAGCAACAAGAGATTAATTAGAAACATATAAACATGTCTTGAATCTCGTTACTCTAATCTGATGCCAGATTGGAGATTTATGAATAAAAAAGGAAGTAATGTGATTTTTGAGAAACAGAATAGTTGAATTTCAGGTAGAATATACTTCGTACAGTGAAGTATACGATGTGGGTGTATTTTAAAGAAAAGAACAGGGCTTCACAAAAAGGTGAGGTATAGCTGAAGCTTTAAAAAGTAAGCAGCTAAAGGTGGCTTTCACACAGTATCTCTTATGGAATCCATTCTGTGTCTCACTTGTGTTAAGAAGCTCATGTCATTTTTTATTTGCCAAGAATGCAGTCTCACCTGTTTTTTCGGGAGGTAAGAGCATGTATGAACATTTGACTTTTTAAAATTTTGTTATCCATAAATAAATAGATCGATTGATCCATTAATTCCACAAATACACACTGAAACTATTCTAGAATCTGAACGTACCCAGTTAACAAAACTTACAGAAATCCCTAACCTTAGGGAGCTTATATTCTAGTTCTGGCAATAGGCAATGAACAAAACAGACAACTATAATGTAGCATATAGTGGATAGTGGTAATTCCTAGATAGAAAAAGGTGAATTAGAGGGGTACCTGGATGGATCAGTAAGTTAAGCATCTAATTTGGCCTCAAGTCATCATCTCACGGTTTATGGGTTCGAGCCCCATGTTGAGATCTGTACTGACAGCTTGAAGCCTGCTTCAGATTCTCTGTCTCCCTCTCTCTCTGCCCCTCCCTTGCTTGTGCTCTTTCTTAAATTAAATAAATAAACATTTACAAAAAGAAAAAGGTAATTAGAAAAAGCAGATGCTATTTGTAATCCCTTTGAGAAAGACATCATATAATTCTCTTTTAGTCAATCAACTGAAACAGATTAATACTTCCATAAGTAATTTTGTAGGCTACTACAAAACTAAGCTAAGCAATGGAACCAAAGCAAGTAGAGGTTAAATCTAGGGAATAGTAAATTTCACCAGCAATATATTTCTTTTTTGTGTTCCTTCTCCAGTTGTTTACCATTATCTTATTTAAGAGTGATATTTGGTACTCTATTTGAAACTCTAGTCTTCAATCAATGGAAGATAAACACATAGGAAGGTTAGAATATCTGCTTTCTGTGAACATTTTTTTTCCGTATCTTATAAGCAATTTTTTATTCTCAAGCAAAGGAACTTGGCACAATTATAAATACCAAATATAATTAATATTAATATGGGCATATAATCTAATTTATTGTTTTTGTTGTTCAGGGTCTTATCATGAAGCTTTGTCCTTACACCATTGCAAGAACTGTGAAAGCACGCTGACCATTATATTTATTTACATTTGCAATAGGAATACATGAAGTCCAGGACTGGATTAATTCGTTGGGTTGGATTGTCCCGCAAGAATTCTAATGAGGTTTGGATGTGGGAAGATGGTTCAGTGCCCTCCAAAGATGTGTAAGTCCCTGGACTTTTAGAATACAATTAGCAAATCTTATTCCTGAGAACCTTTACCCTCTTGATGGCAAATTACTTAAAATTTGGGAGATGGTTCTATACTCTTCTGTGTGCTATATAGGCAATAGCTGAGTCACTGACCCCCTGAGTCCTAATAAGTGAACATTGGTTATCAGACAGTTTTACTTCACTTACCCTCCCAAGCCTCTGCTCTTTATCTGTCACAATCCACCTCTACTTCCAGTAGTTTTCCCCATTCATTTCTACTCTCAAATTTACCATTGGGTTTTTTGTGCTTGTGTGTGGGTGAATGTATTTTGCTTGATCTGATTCTCTTCACATATTTTTAGAACAAAAAGGGTCATTCTTGTTATTTTATGGTTGAAAGTTATTACTCTAAGGATTCTTTTGACTTTTCAGTATCATTTTACCAACTCTTTCACGCCAGGGGTCCCCAAGAATCAGGCACATTTATAAAGTGGATCCAATGTCTGTATCATAAGGCTCCATCCTTCTACAGATAAACCAGGCAAAGGAGCCAATTACATCAGTAGTTAATGTTTTCCAATCTCCAATCTCAAAACCTTTGCTCAATTTGTATGTCAAAACTCTGTCTCTCCAGTTAAAATGTAAATCAACAGCCAAAACCTGTACCAGCTGATCATTACCAAAATTTTTTTTTTTTTTTAACAAATAGTTTATTGTCAAATTAGTTTCTACATAACACTCAGTGCTCATCCCCAAAGTGCCCTCCTTCATGCCCATCCCCCCCTCCCCCCCACATCCATCAGTCCTCAGTTTTTGTCAGCATTCAAGAGTCTCTCATGGTTTGCCTCTCTCCCTTTCCCCCACCATTTCCGCCCTTCTTCTCCCCCTTGGTCCTCCGTCAAGTTCCTCCTAATCCTCCTATACGTGCAAACATATGGTATTTGTCCTTCTCTGCCTGACTTATTTCGCTCAGCATAACACCCTCAAGGTCCATCCATGTTGCTACACATGGCCAGATTTCATTGTTTCTCATTGCCATGTAGTATTCCATGGTATAGATAAACCACATCTTCTTGATCCATTCATCTGTTGATGGACACTTAGGCTCTTTCCATGTTTTAGCTATTGTGGAGAGTGCTGCTATGAACATTGGGGTACATGTGCTCCTATGCCTCAGCATTTCTGTATCCCTTGGGTAAATTCCTAGCAGTGCTATTGCTGGGTCATAAGGGAGTTCTATTGTTAGTTTCCTGAGGAACCTCCACACTGTTTTCCAGAGGGGCTGTACCAGTTTACATTCCCACCAACAGTGCAGGAGGGTGCCCGTTTCTCCACATCCTCGCCAGCATCTAGAGTTCTCTGATTTGCTCATTTTAGCCACTCTGACTGGCGTGAGGTGGTATCTCAGTGTGGTTTTGATTTGTATTTCCCTGATGAGGAGGGATGCTGAGCATCGTTTCATGTGTCTGTTGGCCATCTGGATGTCCTCTTTGGAGAAGTGTCTGTTCATGTCTTCTGCCCATTTCTTCACTGGGTTGTTTGTTTTTCGGGCGTGTAGTTTGGTGAGTTCCTTATAGATTCTGGATATTAACCCTTTATCTGATATGTCATTTGCAACTATCTTTTCCCATTCCGTTGGTTGCCTATTAATTTTCTGGGTTGTTTCCTTGGCTGTGCAGAAGCTTTTAATCTTGATGAGGTCCCAACAGTTTATTTTTGCTCTTGATTCCCTTGCTTTTGGGGATGTGTCAAGTAAGAAGTTGCTGCGGTGGAGGTCAAGGAGGTTGTTTCCTGCTTTCTCCTCTAGGGTGTTGATAGTTTCCTGTCTCACGTTCAGGTCCTTTATCCATTTTGAGTTGATTTTTGTGCATGGTGTGAGAAAATGATCTAGTTTCATTCTTCTGCATGTTGCTGTCCAGTTCTCCCAACACCATCTGTTAAAAAGGCTGTCTTTTTTCCATTGGATATTCTTTCCTGCTTTGTCAAAGATCAGTTGGCTGTATACTTTTGGGTCCACTTCTGAGTTCTCAATTCTGTTCCATTGGTCTATGTGTCTGTTTTTGTGCCAATACCATACTGTCTTGAGGATGACAGCTTTGTAGTAGAGGCTGAAGTCTGGGATGGTGATACCTCCCGTTTTGGTTTTATTTTTCAGTATTACTTTGGCTATTCGGGGTCTTTTGTGGTTCCATACAAATTTTTGGATAGTTTGTTCTAGTTTTGAGAAGTATGCTGGTGCAATTTTGATTGGAATTGCATTGAATGTGTAGAGTGCTTTAGGTAGTAATGACATCTTAACTATATTTATTCTTCCTATCCATGAGCATGGAATGTTTTTCCATTTCTTTGTGTCTTCTTCAATTTCCTTCATAAGTTTTCTATAGTTTTCATCATACAGATCTCTTGTATCCTTGGTTAGGTTTATTCCGAGGTATTTTATGGTTTTTTGTGCAATTGTGAATGGGATCAGTTTCTTGATTTCTCTTTCTGTTGCTTCATTATTGGTGTATAAAAATGCAACCGATTTCTGTACGTTGATTTTGTACCCTGCAACTTGGCTGAATTCTTGGATCAGTTCTAGTAGGCTTCTGGTGGAGTCTGTCGGGTTTTCTATGTAGAGTATCATGTCATCTGCGAAGAGTGAAAGTTTGACTTCCTCTTTGCCAATTCTGATGCCTTTGATTTCCTTTTGTTGTCTGATGGCTGATGCTAGGACTTCCAGCACTATGTTAAACAACAGTCATTACCAAAATTTTTAATTAATTGATTCCACAGATACTAAGTATTTACTATGGGTATGAGTAAAGGATACTGTGAGTACAAGCAAACTTCTTCATAGATCTTGAGCTTTATCTCCTATCATTTTCTGCCTCATTCACAATACTTTAGGCAAACTGGTGAACCTCTGTGCTTTCAACAAACTAAACTTGTTTTGTTGTCTTAGGGCTTTTGTATTTACTGTTTTCTTCTGGAATGTTCTACCTCCAGAATTCCATGAGGGCTCCCCCTTGTGAGACACATGTCTGTTTCAACTTTACTTCCTCAATGAGGTCAACTTTAATTACCAAAACTAAACTAGCCTCTTTCCTCCCACATCCACTTGAGTCCATTAGCACACCATTTCATTTCTTCATACCTCTTACCACTCTCTGAAATTTTTTATTGGTTAGCGTCTTACCAATATCCTCTTACTATTTAATGTAAGCTTCCTAGTAGAAGGTACCGTGTCCTGATTACTCTATCCATAGCACATAAAATAGCTTTGGCATATGGTAGGTATCCTGTAGATATTTGGCAAAGAAATTAGATATACATATTCTGTGTTCTCTTGTCATGAGCAGTGTAGCAGGGAATAGACACAACTTAATAGGTAATCACAGTAGAGTGTGCTGCCTTGTATCTGCTAGCCTATAACATAATTCCTCATTTAAAAATCTAATCAACTTAGTGGGGGGAGGAGGGATGGGCATGGAGGAGGGCACTTGTGGGGATGAGCACTGAGTGTTATGTGGAAACTAATTTGACAATAAACTATAAAAAAAAAAAGAAAGTTAAGGCAATAATGTTAAAAAGAAAAAAAAAAGAAAAAAAATCTAATGAACTTACTTTTCCTTGAGCTCATTTCCATTTGTGCAGCTACTTGCCCTACAAGGTTCTTCCATCTTCTTTCTGTTTATCTAAATCCTATCCTTCCTTCAAGATGGAACTAAAGCACAATCTTGTATGAAAAGATGAAAGGATAAAGCCTTTTCCATCGTTTTAGATCCCATCCATATCCATCTCTTTCTCTCGTCCCTTAATGTGTCTGCTGCTCCCTTACTACCTAATCAATGCTGTCTTAAATTGTTATTGAGCTACTGAGATGTACAGACTTTAAACTCCTAAGCAGACTGAAAATTTCTCAATGATCTGAATGTGATTTGTTATTTATTTTTTGTTTTTACCCTTTTCCACCTTGTGCAACAAAATACTTTCACACAGAGTTTGATTGTTGATTGGGTATATTGTTTTTCGAAGGAACTCATTCTCCCTTTTCCATTCACAGGTTTGAGCTTTCTGGAAATGGAGAAGACAATATGAACTGTGCCTATTTTTATAATGGGAAAATTTACCCTACCTTCTGTAATAACAAACATTACTTAATGTGTGAGAGGAAGGCAGGCTTGATAAAGGTGGACACACTACTTTAATGCAAAGAGATGGGAAGGATGTCACAGACAGGTGCTTGCTTGTACAGTCAAAGATCTGAATGAAGGACTCACTAGACCTAAAACTGTTTATTTTTTCCTTTATCCCCCTTGGAGTCATCTTTACATTATCTTTTCTACCAACACGACTTCATCTCTCCTTTATATATCCTTTCGTACTAAGGGATAACATAGTCCATTCTCTATACATCCAGAAGCCAGTCTATGAGTTGATAATTTGTTCTCAATTGTTCTATTTCCATGGATTTTCTTTCTTCTCGTCTTCCCTTCATAATGATTTCAACACAGTATGATTCAATCATCTTCAGACATAAACATATAGATGCTTTAAGTTGGAATAAGAAAGGTTAGGGTTTCATCAACCGAAACTGTGCAAAATACCTAAGTTTGAAAGAAAACATAAGGTAGTGGAAAGAAAATTAAACTTGGAATCAGTAGAACAATTTAGATGATTACTTACCTAAAATACAACCATAGACCAAATGTAACCTCTTTAACATTTGTTTTCTCATACTTCAAATAGAATAACACCCATTATCTCACACTTGCACAACCTAAGAAAAGGTTGGAGTACTAACTATATCAGTTACTCCATGAACGCCAACACCATGCCTTTCCTATATGCACAGCATGGTTCCTTGTTGCTCACGGGAAACAAGAAAATAATCGCTTCTTGTCCCGTGAGAAGCACCACAATCCATAAAACGCTACAGAATTACAACTTGGACTCTAAGTACACTTTGGTCAGACTCTAACTCAGGGATTTTCTGTGCAAGGAAAATAAAAGTTTGTGTGCAAGAAGCCTCATGAGGTTTCAAAATAAGAAAATGCTTCCTTAACAAGGCCCATGGGCAAGTAGACAATGCAGCAAGTAAAATGTTTTATCTTTTCCTGACAGTTCTGTGCTTGGTTTTTGCTGAGTAACTCCTGAAGTATTTTAGATAGGTGGGGAAGCACCCTTTCACAGGATAACAGGCAAAAATTGCATTCCTTTTCCACATCTTCCTTGAAGTGACTCTTTCCTCTCACAGGGGTGGTAATAACATTTATGAACATGATTCTCAAATATCTCAACTGAGAGGTTTGGTAAACCATGCAGATGTTCAAACACAAATACTCAAGGTTCTCAGTTGGAAGACTAAAAACACCGAGTCTTGTGTTTTTAAGAAACACTCCAACTCAATTCTGCTACAAGTAGCTTCTAATACATTGTGAGAAAAACTACATTAGAACCTCCTCCCTATGTGGCTCTTGGTAAGTTACTCTCAGTTTCCTCATGTATGAAATGGGTTTAATATTATTATTTTACTCACAGCTAATGGGATCATTTGATATAATACATACACAAAGCACTGAGCAGAGTACCAAGCATGTAATAAGTACTCAATAAAGATGTATTATTTTATACCTTTGTGTACAAACACCCAGAGACCCTGGAATCTTTATCTTATTTTACACTATTGATAAACAAGCAGATTTGGGAGGGACTGAGGAAAAATAACACAAATACCTCAGATTCTGCTTCTACTTCAAATGTCTTGAGATCTTGGCTTTTGGCAGGTAGTATTATCATTGTACTGTTTTTACTTGTTGATTTAGAGAAATGGGATAGGAACTAGACATTGAGAAAATCATCCAAAAATCAACCATGTCTCTGGACTTTAGTGTTTTATCACCCACAAATGGAAAAAAAACCCCATATATTTATTTATACATTACTTTGGCACAAGTAGATTTCAAAGAATAATATCTTAGTTTATGGCAGAAATGCAATTAAAAAATGTAAACCAATCAAACTGTGCCTACAAAGATTCTTTTTCCTGGTACTGATATCAAAATCATCTTATACACGAAATCAGAATAGCACAGGTTTTAATAGCCCAGCTTCTGTGATAAAAGCACCTAATTTCAAATACTGATTCTTCCACTTACTACCCAAGTGAACTTTGGTAAATAATTTGGTTTCTCTGGGCTTCAATTTACAACAAAGTTACAATGTACTAACTATAGTGACTAATGATTTCATAGAGCTGTTCTAAGAATCAAAATAATTCACGTGAAAGTCATTTGGAATGGTACTTGGAAAGTAACGAATAATCAAAAGTGGAGTGATTAACAACACCAAAAGCAATATAAGTAACATATTAATTCTTTATTGGGAGAGCCCAATATTTCCCCCAAAGAAATTTATCAGAGAATATACTGCATTACAGAAAACTAGATCTTTCTAGCTCAATATTTAGTCCTGATTAAATTTGAGAGCACCTCGAAATTAACAACATCTCATTGAACTTCCGTTCCTGTGCTCCTGACATTAGTCTTAATGCACATTTGGTATGCTATGGCTTCTTCCTCTTTTGTTTCTTCAAGATAGAAATCACTACATTAGAAAGGCTACAGAGAGTTAAGTGACATTATTTTTCAGATCAGAATCTCAAGTCACATGAAAACCATTTGAAATATTTAGAGAATTTGCTGGATAGTATCCATTTACCTCTTGAGATCCTCTCAGCCCCACTTTGTCCATTAATCCTTTCCCCAAACAGTGTCTTTATTCAATGCCTTTATATTACTCTTTGAATATGCCATTTGTTTTCTTCTGTTACACAGATCAATGGTTGAGGCAGGGAGACACTGAAACAAAAAGGGACATTGCACTTTTGCAGATTGTTGAGATTTGCAAACCATAAATTACTAAGAAATGACCTTTGGCCATAAGGACAAATGGCCAAGATGTGAATGGTGATTAAAATATCAAGTTTCTTAATGTCAATGCTATAGTCACAGGATGTGACAGAAGTGGCCATCTATCCACTAAATAATTCATGCCCCCCATATAGAGAGAAGTTGTCATAAAAATTTCCCGAGCCAGGCAAAAATTACATTTATTGAGCCCAACCTTTTAGATCCAAACACAAGTATTACGTTAGTGGATGTAGATATGCTATGTGTAGGTTATGGCCTTTCAAATAGATGTGGATTTGCCGTTTTCTCTTTTCCTTTCCTAGGGACTCCAGTGTATCACAAGATAGAAGAAGCCTGGGTCCTTAGGGGGAGGAAATTGACCCGACTAACCAGGATTACTCTAGCTAAATTGTTACGTGAGCAAGAAATAATCTTTATTGTAGTAAACAACTGAATTTTTTTGACTCACTTGTCACTACATTACCCTAACTAATACAATGAGTAAATTTCTTTTAGGGGTGAAATCTCTTTTTGCTTTTTTGTTTTAAGGATACACAGTGATCCACCGCTCCTCACATCCTGGTTTGTCCAACGCGAGCTAACCTTGGATCTTTGTTCCCTCAGTCATCCACATGCATCCTATACCAAATACAAGTGTGTTGTTTGCACTTCTATTCTTTTCATCTTGACAATACCTTACTGCTATCACCTTCAATGTCTGCTGTGCTTTCAAAACCAGAGCAATAACCTATTCTACTGTTGGCCCTTTCAAGTTCAGGTCCTTTCTCATTTCCTTCCTTCTTTGGCTTCAACTTCATAAACTTCTACTTTCTAGATGAAGATGCATCTATTCTATTCCTTAAACCCCAACAAAATTTCCCACCAGTGTGAGAAGTAGCCAATTTCAGTTCTTTCACCAACCTGCTCCTGCCACACGAGGAAGACTCGGCTTCTCCTGGCGACTGCCTTACCTATCACAGCATCTCAGACATGCAGGAAGAAGAGACATACGCCTCACTTCACTGGGATGATCCAACACCAAACCCTTACCAGAAACATCTATCTTCCACTAAATATTCAGGTAACCAGTTCTGACTATTTAGTCCAATACTTTGCCATTTATGTTTGGTTTCCTGTTCTGTGATGAGCCCAAGTTGATTTTTCTAGTGAGGTTACCCACATATGTGTATGATAATGGGTGATATGTTAACATTAATAATGAAGTGATATGGAAGCGTAAGTAAAGGGGCAAAAGGAAGAGAGCAATGGATTTGACAAATATGTAGTAACCTTTTTCCTTCTCTCTTGCTGGAAAGATAAAGAATTAATTCCTGGATTTGGAAGATAAATGAAAGCAATCACATATTTTTTATTAGTTTAGTTCCTGCATAAAATACCCTGGAAGTTACCTGACAAATACTAAAACATAAAGAGAAAACAGGTTGAAAAACTGGCAAAATCATATCAGCCTGGAGTTGTCCGCTCCAGTGATCAGTGCTGGTATTATTATTTAACATTTGTATTAGTGTCTTATTATTTTGATAATAAACTAACATGGACCAAGGGGTTATATACAATACAAATTTATTATCTTTACAGTTCTAAAGAGCAGAGGTTCAAAATTGGTTTCACTGGGCAATTGGCAGGGGTGTTGCTCCGTTGAGGGGCTTTGGGGAGAATCCATCCCCTTATGTTTTCCAATTTCTAGAGCAGCATTTCTCAATTTACTTGGCGCATGGCCTTTTTCTCCATTTACAAAGCCAGCAGTGTGATGCCTTCGAGTGTTTTTCTGTTTCCATTGTTATATAGGACCCTGACACCCAACCTCCCATTTATAAAGGCCCAGATAAAACAGGATAAAGTCCCCATCCCAAGATCCTTCACTTAATTACACTTTAAAGTCTCTTTTACCACAAAAGGTAATATCTCCAGGTTCTAAGGAGCAGGACATGGGCATTTGGGGCAGTGCATTATTCAGTGTACCACATAATCCAAAGATAACTTTTATTTTTTCTCTGACTAGTGTTAAGAATTTGGCAAATCATACATTCTTCATTTTTCCTTCCTGAATAGATATGCAAAATTACCTGGGGGGTGAGAGGGGAGTGTTCCTTATTCAAAACTGTATGATTTAAAAGAAATATCTCTGGGGGTGCCTGGGTGGCTCAGTTAGTTAAGTGTCTGACTCTTGATTTCAGCTCAGGTCATGATCTCAGAGTTTATGGGATCAGCTCCACATCAGACTCCATGCAGAGCCTGCTTGGGATTCTATCTCCTTCTCTCTCTGCCCCTCCCCTGCTTGTGTTCTTTTCTCTCAAAATAAATAAATAAACATTAAAAAAAATAAAAGAGGGGCTCCTGGGTGGCTCAGTTGGTTAAGTGTCTGACTTCCGCTCAGGTCATGATCTCGTGGTCCATGAATTTGAGCCCTGTGTCGGGCTCTGTGCTGACGGCTCAGAGCCTGGAGCTTGCTTCGGATTCTGTGTCTCCCTCGCTTTCTGTCCCTTCCCCACTCATGATCTGTTTCTGTTTCTCTCTCTCTCTCTCCTTCTCTCAAAAACAAATAAACATTAAAAAAAAATTTTTTAATAAAAGACATATCTTTGAACCAATCTTGTTCAAGTGGGACTGGAAAGAGATGAGGAGACGCAACCTATATCTCTGCTTTCAGAAATGAAAGCTAACTACCATGTTTGCTATAATCTCTAAAAGATTGCTGGAAGAGAAAACTAGAAAACTAGTTAGTAAGATTGCAGCATCATATAAGGATAAGAGAAGTATGTTATTTAACCTACTGGACTTGACATTTTTCCAAATCAAATGTGGTCCAGCTTCCAACTTGGAGTTCCAAAAGTTTGGAGTGTGTTTTTCCTGTTACCAGTCTCCAGGACTTCAAGGATTCTCTACTAAGAATGCAAATGCTTTCTTTCACTCAGACTAGTCTTAGCCTGGCCCGTCTCTTTCATCTACTTTCTCTAACTCAGTATCATTGGTCATATTCCTTGTTTAGGAACGTGGTATCTTGTGGTGGTGATTTCATGTGTTTTCTGCGTGGGCTCAGTAACAACCTCTATTTTCCTGGGCATCAAGTGTAAGTACAAAAGAATATCTTCAAAATTATCTCTCTTTATATATAGTACATATACTTTATATATAATTATGCATTATAAACATACATATGTACATATATACTGCATGTATCTTTAAATACAGTTCTATATATCATTATAAATAAAATATCATAATTTATAAATAAATGAATTACAAATCTGTAAATGCATCTAAGTGATGTAAAATAATGGCTTCTTTGTTTAAGTTATGGGACATTTATATAACTCTCTAAGCATTTGGATGTCACTAGTAACTTTCAATGCTCATCTGCATGTTGTTTAACTCAATTCTAATGTCATATGTGTCTTCGGGGAAAATAACACAAATAATTACTTATATTATGATTCAATTTGTAAATTTTATTAGCATGCCAAAGGGTGCAGTTTGAAAGATTTCAGTATAATGCTCCTTCTTTTCTAAATATGCATGTATTCTAAACTTAACTGTATGCAGATTATTTGAGTAAGAGTTTTTCATTTTATATTAGGCAAGTATAATTTAGTAAGTTTATATATAGATATATAGTAAGATATATAGACATATTGTTACAGTTAGTAAGTTTAATGCAATTCTGAACACTTTATTTGGGTCATATTTAATCACGTTTCTTTAGTACAAATTTAAGACATGTTTTCATATCTGGCAAGTGAAACTTTTATAAAATATAATAATTACAGAGCTAAAGATTGCAAAAAACAACCAAAAAACAACCAAAAACTGTATTATCACTCATGCTTGCACTAAGAAGTATGTATACAGAGATAAAGTTTATTGTCCAGATAATTCTTCCTTTTTGTATGCTCTGGAAAATCATTTCCTTATCTAGGAGACATTAGCTGGTGAGGGAAAATCATGAGTTCTAGAATGAAGAAGAGATGGGTTCATATTTGCTTCCACAAAGTACAAGAAACTTGATCTTGTTCATGTTAGCTATGAAGTTATTTTTGTGATTGTTCTTAGAAGATCGTTTTAAGAATTACTAGAAGCCCAACAAATAATTGTTGCCTTGTCTATCACTTCTAAAGAAATTTCACAACAAATGTGAGCACTTCCAGAAAGCCTTTGTTATCTCACTCTATGTTCTCTTTGGGTATCACATAAAAACATTATTTAAATCGAATGCAAGTCTATTTTTTTAGGAGATGCACATTTAAATATATATTTATCAAACAGACACACTGGAAATAGACTGAAGAGATAAAAGAGAACTAACAGATAAGTAAATTAACATCTAATAACTCAGTTTCTTCTGTAGAAACTGGTCACCTAGAATGGAATATTGTCAAGCTCCGTTTCGACGACAGTACAAGAATTCATACACCAAGTAACACTGGAAGTAACTAAAAATGAGGTCAGGAAAGTAAGATAAATGGTGACAACATCAGTGATTATTGTTTGTTGTTTTTTTAATGCTGTTATCCCATGGATATAGTCTATATTAAACAACTTTTTTAACTCCCAAAACAAAAATTCTGGGAAGAAAATATTTCCATGAGGATAAAGGGAAGCTAGCTAGAAAATAAAGTATCTAACACTTTCAGTAATTTCTGGAAAATGCTTATAAATAAGTTTTGGTGTTCTTTTGTGTTAATAGCTACAAATATCTACTTTTAAAACTTAAAAATCACTATACAAATGTAAAATATTTTTACAATCGGTTTTTGTTCACATATAGTGGCTTTTATTTTTTTTCTACCAATATTGTCATTTGCCAAGATCATCTTTTACATTCTCAAAACACTCTTAGGGCTTTTATTTCTTATTTATTTATTTATTTATTTTTAATTTTTTTACCATTTATTCATTTTTGAGAGACAGAGTGTGAGGGAGGGATGGGCTGAAAGGGAGGGAGACACAGAATCCGAAGCAGGCTTCAGGCTCTGAGCTTGACAGGGGGCTCGAACTCACAGTACCATGAGATCATGACCTGAGCTGAAGTCAGATGCTCAATCGACTGAACCATCCAGGTACCCCCTTAGGGCTTTTATTTAGTAAAGCTAGTTATAGAAACCAAAGTTGAGCTAAACAAGAAGCAGTTTATTTACTTCAAACTTTCTTAACTAATTGCTGTCCTTCTAGTTATAGATTATTTTATAGCCAGTATATTTTGAGTTATAAAAATCATGTTTATTTAAAAAAGATTTTTTTTTAATGTCTTATTTATTTCTAGGAGAGAGAGAGAGAGACAGCGTGAGCAGGGGAGGGTCAGAGAGAGAGGGAGTCACAGACTGAAACAGGCTCCAGGCTCTGAGCTGGCAGTCAGCACAAAGCCCAAAGCAGGGCACGAACCCACGAACCGAGAGATCATGACCTAAGCGAAAGTCGGACGCTCAACAGACTAAGCCACCCAGGCGCCCCTAAAAAAGATTTTTTAATGTGTATTTATTTTTGAGAGAGTGAGAGAGAGACTGCAAGTGAGGGAGGGGCAGAGAGAGAGAGAGAGAGAGGGAGAGAGAGATTCTGAAACAGGCTCCAGGATCTGAGCTGTGGGGCTCAAACCCATGAACCTGGAGATCATGACCTAAGCCAAAGTCAGAAGCCCAATTGACTGAGCCACAAAGGTGTCCCTTAATCATGTTTAAATTTTAATAATTATCTCCTCTTAATCATGTTCCACTTAATAGAGAATGTTAAATATTCTCTCCATGAAAATTTTCACTGTAAGAAAGAGGTCAATATTAATATCTAAATTTTATATATAAACATATAATATATATAATTTAATATACATATTAGAAATAGGGACATGTTTCTGACAAACAGTAATGAATGAAATCTATATCCTGTTTAAATATGAAAGTAATGCATGGGTTAATTACAGATTTTTCATATATACCATTAAAAATGCATCCATATACATCTGACAGTAAAATAACTGGTAAAATTAATCATTGATATAAAAGGATACACTGTGGTAATTGAAAGAAATCTTCTAGAACTATTGTTATTAATATGAAGATATGGTTACACAATATTTCCCTATGGGAAATGCAGATTTAAAGTCACTTATGGAAAAATACAGTTTTATAAAAATATGTAAAACAGATGCAGTTTTACATGCATATATGGAAAAAAGTTTTAATAGATATAAACTAAATGTTAACAACGGTTATTTAAATGGTAAGTTTAAATGTAAAAGAAGTAATTTCTTGCTTCCTACTGTTTTGTATTTTCTGTTTTTTTCTACCATGACTTATGCTAATTTCGTTCTATTTTAAAAACTCTGTAGTGCAAAATATTTTCTAAAACATCTAATTTTTTGGTTTTTACTCTTCTTTTTCATTTTATTAACTCATCCATTAGGTATATCATATAACATTATATAATTATAAGATATTTTTTATTTGTGGGGCTTTAAAAACATTTGTCTTATATTCCCCCAAATAAATATATTGTTTAATTTTTATTCCTTGCTGTTTGCAAATTGATTAGAAGCCCAACACCAGTAAAGGTACTGTATATTGCTTCCCATTTGGGGGGAATGAAAGGGAAGTCTCATTTCCCTTTCTCCAGTTTTATTACAGTTTTATATAGAAAACCCTTTTCAGATAGTAATAAAGAAAACAGCAATAACCTTGAGAATATATTTAATCTAGAAAAATTCGTCAAAATTCAAAATTTTAAAATAATACTTCAAATTTCCAAAAAAATATTATATTTTTCAATCTCTAAACACGTCATATTGTTAATAGAATAAAATAAATAACATCACTTTCCTACTCCTCACTCTGGTTACATCCGGCCTTTTGCTAAGAAGGAACATAATCCAAGCCACTTGTAGCCTAGACTACTTGAACTACAGATGGACAAGGCATAACCATCCATTGTATATCTAGTCCACACCTCTTGAGCAAAATATAGAAAAGAGGGTAAGATTCCTAGAGAAAGATTAGCATATGCATAATAGTAAACCCAAAAGTAGAAGAGATAGTTCGATAAAAGTAGTATTATTTTAAGACCTACTGGATGAATACTTTCCAAAATTGGTCAAAAACATCAAGTCGTGGGTTCAAGAAATTCTATAAAAACCAAAAGGCATAAAGAAAAGCAACATCCATGTTAAGAAAAATATTTAATAAAATAGGAATAGATAGGTACTTTATTGTATGGTTTTTAAAAATAACTGCCCTAAAAAGCGATTCAGACTTAGAAGGAAGGAAAAACAAAAAAATTATATAAAAGTAATGTAAAAATGGAAGAAAGACTGGCCCTACCAAATACTGAAATAAAATTATAAATCTAAAATAATGAAGGCTGTGTGGTGCTGATATATGAATAGAAAAGCAGATGGATTGAATGTAATTAAAATAATAGAAATATATCCACATGGTTTACTGGAAATTACAGTAAACTAAAGATGGGAATTAAAAGAGGATGGGGACTGGGGCGCCTGGGTGGCTCAGTCAGTTGTGTCCAAACCATGATCTCATGGTTTGTGAGTTTGAGCCCTGCATGGGGCTCTGTGCTGAAGGCTCAGAGCCTGGAGCCTGCTTCAGAGTCTGTGTCTACCTCTCTTTCTCTGGCTTGTCCTTTCCTGGTTTCACTCTCTCTCTCTCTCTCTCTCTCTCTCTCTCTCTCCTCTTAATCCCTCCCCCACTTATGAATGCACATGCCTTCTCTCTCTCAAAATAAATAAGTAAACTTTTTAAAAAAGAGGATGAGGAGGAGTTTCTTTCAGTAAATGATATGAGACCACGTACAATGTAGTCATCTGGGGGGAAAATGCTGAAGTTATATCTTATAAATTCCAACAAAATAAATTCCAGCTACCAAATATATAAAACTGAAATACACTTATAAAAGTATAATATCAGGTGTAAAATTTTTACTAAAAATGACTCAAGAAACAAAACAGGTGAACATAAGGGAAAAGAAGGAAAAATAAGATAAAAACAGAGAGGGAGGCAAATCCTAAGAGACTCTCAAATACAGAGAACAAAATGAGGGTTTGCTGAGGGGGCGTTGGGTGGGGTATGCGCTAAATGAGTGATGGGCATTAAGGATGACACATGTTGGGATAGGCACCGAGTACCATCTGTAGATGATGAATCACTAAATTCTACCCCTGAAACCATTATTACACTATGTGTTAACTAACTTAGATTTAAATAAAATTAAAACTTAAAAAAAAAAAAACGCATCTGATGAATGTGGGACAAACTACCACACGCAAAGTCAAAAGACACACTGGGACAATGTAACTGTAGAAAAGCTACTTTTACCAAAATATAAGTGCACTGAGAGAACCTGTTAAACAAGACTGATTGTTGAAGAAGATTCACAGGACCCAAAATGCCAGTGCTTACAAATGTACAGTTTATTACAAGAAAAGTATACAAGTATACAATTTAACAACCACATTAAAGTATGTATGGGCGCCCGCGTGGCTCAGTTGGTTAAGCATCTGACTTCAGCTCAGGTCATGATCTTGATGTTTGTGGGTTTGAACCCCACATTGGGCTGGGTGCTGACAGCTCAGAGCCTGGAGCCTGCTTTGGATTCTGTGTCTCCATCTTTCTCTGCCCCTCCTGTGCTTGCACTCTGTCTCTCTCTTTCTCTCTCAAAACTAAACATTAAAAAAGAATTAAAAAAAATAAAGATATGTATTACAAGGAAAGGTCCGGAGAGAGGTACAAACAGGTGCCTTGTCTTCCCTCTGTAACTAACTTTTAAACCACAATTCATCTCTTGAGTCAGGAACCACCAATGTGTACACAGAATATTTTGTACCAGGGAGCCCAAAATAGAGTCTTCCTTGGGCATTTTTGTATTTGCTGACCACAGATGCAGATTTCTGTAAGGTAACCAGCTTCAATAGCAGACCGTTCTCAGGATCTCTTCGTAACCAGGGGCAAATCATCAACCATATAGCATCAGTAAACAACGTCAACAACCTAGTAGAATCTGGTCCTCAAATCCTCAGAGTGATGATTATAAAGCTATACTATTAATCAGTATGTCTCCTACCTTGTCCAGAGGTCAATGCCAGGCGGGAACTTTACAGACACTGTCAGCCTGATCCCAGGCCTGTTTGAATGAATTCTCAGCACAATAAGCACCTCATATAAAACAATAAAGAAAAGACTAGAAACTCAATGAAAAAAATATTATATAAATATATCTAATATACAGTTATACACATAATAGAAAAGGAAACACAACTGACATTTATATGTATGAGAAAAAGATTCAACACCAAATGTAAAAAGGGAAATGCAAATTCAAATGATATTGACATACCTTTTGCAATAGAATATATGGAGGGTAATTTGGAAGTATGTAATACAATTTAAATGTACATAAAATTTGACCTAGCAACTTACCTTAAAAACATACATGCATATGTGAAATTATGTATGACTAAGGTTCTTTATTACCATATTTATTTCTGTAATGCCAAAAAATTACAAATAGTTTAAAAGCCAATAGAGAATGACTAACACAAATCATGATATATCCAGACAATGGAATTCGATACAGTTATAATGAAAGAATGAGAAAGCTATTTATATACTTTTATGGAATTATGTCCAAAAATGTCCTTTATAATTACCTTTTTAAAGTTTATTTATTTATTTTAAGAGAGACAGAGACAGCATGAGCAAGAGAGGGGCAGAGAGAGAGGGAGAGAGAAAATCCCAATCAGGCTCCATGCTACCAGCACACAGTCCGATGCAAGGCTCAATCTCATGAACCGTGAGATCATGACCTGAGCTGAAACCAAGAGTCAGGCACTCAAATGATGGAGCCACCCAGGTGCCCCCAAAATATATTTTCAGTGGTACAATAAAAGGTGAAAAACCATATAAACAGATTGTTATCTCCTGTACAAAGGGAAGAGAGGACCTTTTATATTCATTTGCTTGTAAAATTCAGAATATATGTGGAAGAATAAAAAAGAAATTGGTAAACCTGACTTCTCTGGGGGAGTGCAGTTGGGTGTATGAGGATACTGGGTGGTAAGGAGGCTTTTTGCTCTGTATCCTTTGAAGCTTTTGATTCTTGAACAGAGTACATTTTAAACAAGAACTTAATGCCCATTAAAGTCACAAAGATCATCAGTAATCTGTAGCTGTCCTTAACCTGTATGGAAGAATTACTTTGAAATATTTTGTTAGTGTTTTTTGTTTTTTGTTTTTTTTTAAGAATGCTGGGGCGTGGAGGAAGACACTTGTGGGGATGAGCACTGGGTGTTATGTGGAAACTAATTTGTCAACAAACTATTTGTAAAAAAAAATAAATTGTATAAAGCTTGTAAAAAAAAAAAAAAAAAAAAGGAATGCTGGGGTGCCTGGGTGGCTCAGCCGGTTGAGCCTCCGAATTCGGCTCAAGTCATGATCTCATGGTTCGTGTGTTCCAGCCCCACGTTGGGCTCTGTGCTGACAGCTACCTCAGAGCCTGGAGCCTGTCTTCGGATTCTGTGACTCCCTCTCTCTCTGACCCTCCCCTGCTCACACTGTCTCTCTCTCTCTCTCTCTCTCTCAGAAATAAATAAAAAACATTAAAAAAATTTTAAAAAATAAAAGAATGCTTGTTATTGTTTGAAGTGTTCCAGGTGTCCACTATTGCTATGAAACAGCAAGAAAAACTCATCCAACAGGAGAAAGCACTGTTGAATTTCACACGATGGAAGAAAAACCATAATCTTCTGATGAAAGACTGCCAAACCTTGATGCAAAATGCTTTCACTTCAGGTAACTGATATCAAATCAGTTTCCATTGTGCAGATACAAATGCAGACACTGATTCCTTAAAAGGAAACAGCGACACACATTTTGTTCTCTGCAAAACTACAGTCAGAATTTTAAATTAGAAGGGACATAATTTTGATCCACACTTCAGTTCAATCTTATTTATATCTGTCCATAGAATGTGAAAAATACTGAGGTCCCAAGAAATGCAGACTTAAAAACCATACAGTCAAATTTCAAAAGGAAATGTGTAGGATTGGATCAGATTTTTTAAAAAGCAGTATTTGGTGTTTTTCCCAATCGCTCAAATGTATACATGTATCTTTAATTATAGTTCTAAATTCATCAATATATTTAGTTGAGATATCGCTTTGGATTCAAATTTAGATATCTCTTTGAGCAGAAAAATTATTTTAGAAATCAGAGTATTTACCACAGAATTATAACAATGCAGGGTTCACATCTTTTAAAATATTCTATGAAGTTATTTCAGTTTTATCTTTTACATCTCTTACAAGCACTTGTTTTTCAAGTAGGCTCCACACCTAACATGAGGCTTGAATTCACAACACTTGAGATCAAGAGTCTCACTCTGCTGACTGAGCCAGCCAGCCACTCTCCTCTTACAAGCATTTTAAACCTAAAATAGCTTATTTCTATTTGTTTTGTAGCTTGTCAAATACTCTATGGTTACTTAATTGGCATTAATTATCCTTGTAGTGGATACCATTTAAGTAATCACAAATGAGAGAGGTCCAAAAATCTACTATAGCTCTGTCTGACTGAAATTTGTCACATAAATGTTTACAGAATCACTGTGTGCCCAACCATTTTTTAAAATAATTTAGACTTTTACAAGCATAAGTTATACCCGCCTCCGAGCCACCAACCTTGAGACAATGACAATATCCATTTTGAAGACCTACAAATCTAACATGTCCTCCAACCTTTCAATTGCCATTGTCAATGCCACTCAGGCTATAACTTTAACAAGAGACAAGACTCTGATTAGCATAGACTCTAAATGAAGGATATAGAGAAGCTTTAAGTAGGTCAACATTCAGTCCATGGAAACTTGTAATAAGCTATTTGTCACCCTCTGTAGAAGGTCTCTCTCTCTCTAGAAACTAGAGTTCTGGAAATCTTGGTGTCATTGCCTCTATAAAACTCTGCAAGAAACAATCAAGTTTTTGCTTTTCAGTTCTTGTACACTCTTGAGCACACTTCTTTTATGAATACATTCTTTCTTACGATGGGGTTCATAAAACCAATTAAACAATATGGCTTCTTAGTTATATCCAAGTTCTGAAATAAGTTTATTGGGTCACTTAAGTTTTTCTTTAATTTTCCTCACTCACATTTTTAAAAAATCGTTCCTCAAAGTGGGATGAATGAAACATTTTCATGTTTCTTTCTCAGAATTCAAACATCAACTTGAAATGTATTACTCAGCGTGCCTAATGGTCCAGTATATTTCCAATTAGATTGGCCCAGTGAGATTAAGAGACATGAAACAATAAGCAAACAAATGAAGACATAAATAATGTCAACCTAATGATGGGAAATATTTATAAAAATAGAATAATCACCTCACTTATTATAGAAAAGGAGCAACTGGGAAAAGATACTCCAAAGCTAATTTTAAGCTTAAAAAAAAAGTTTACTTATCTCTTTTGAGAGAGAGGGAGAGAGAGAATTCCAAGCAGGCTCGGCCACTTGATACAGGGCTCAAGCCCACAAACGTGAGATCGTGACCTGAGCCAAAACCAAGTGTTGGACGCTTAACCAGCTGAGCCACTCAGGCTCCCCAAAGTTAATTTTATCTTAAACTAGTTCTTACAGACCTGTTGCAGTTGGAAATAATTATATAAATCTCACCAAGGTAAGTACCGTCTCAGATGAACTGCTTGGTTAGAGTACTCAGTTTCATGGGGGTGTGAGACGAAGGGTTCTTTTGAAGAGATGTGCTACTAATATTTTTATGATAAATTTAACCAAGTAAAATGTTTATCTTCAAAGTCCATAACTGCAGCGCTTGTCCAGACAACTGGATTCAGAATGGTGGAAGTTGTTACTATGTCTTTGAACAATGGAAAATCTGGAACACCAGTAAAGAGGACTGTTTGAAGGAGGGCTCTACTCTTCTACAAATAGACAGCAAAGAGGAAATGGTAAACACTATCTCACAGTTTTGTATCATTCTGAAAATACCCTGATATGTTAAAAGAAAGAACTGATACTAATAAGACAGGATTCCTTAATATTCTATAACAGCAGTATATTTGTTGTCCATAATAAAGGTTTAAAAGAGACAATGTGGGAATTGCCAACATTTGTTTTCCCTTTAACTGGACAGACAAAGGAGACTATGTTAGCTGTATGCCCTTTTTTAATAAAAAAAGAGGGGTGGTAAAGGAAATACTATTTCATGACTTGTTAGTCTGCTCCAAGATGTATGCATATTGTAATTGTGTATGTTTCAGATTCATCATTTTCAATGCTGTAGGGAAGTATAACAGCCAATCACAATTTTGTAATTACCAAGAAAAAGCAGAAGTATAAAAAGGGAAGTGATGTCATGAAATGGAGAGGTCTGTGAAAATAAGCATTTGCTAAACGAAATAAATGTTTAATTGACGTTAAGCCTAGTTTACTACCATCTTAACAAACCGGGTTTCCTTGAAATCATTTTACCCATAAATATGTATGTAGTAGAATACATAGTTACACATTTCTGACCTTATTAAAAATATATGCTTGCTATATTCAATATTTAGTTAAAGTTCAATTTTCCAAGAATACTGAGAGAACAATTTAAGGGTACATTAAGGATATGCAGTAAACCAAGGCAACTTGAACTTACTACAATTATAGGCTTACACTATATTTTTCTGTGCAAATTTGGTGACAATCACTAGTAATGTTTTTTCTAACAAAATATCCCTACAGTTAACTTATCTCTGGAATCTTCTAAACTATTTCTCATACTGAAGTATACTGGGAAAGAATGATAGGTGTGGTCTCTGATGTCAAGGATATTTCTACTTTTTCTGATTATGAAGGTTTAATATAACACCTTGTTTCGATTACCTGACAAACTCTGAATCTGTTAAGATTATTTTAATACCAGGTGCTTGGGGCACCTGGATGGCTCAGTCGGTCAAGCGTCCAGCATCAGCTCAGGTCATGATCTCATGATTAATGGGTTTGAGCCCCGCACTGGACTCTGTGCTGACAACTCAGAGTCCGGAGACTGCTTCAGATTCTGTGTCTCCCTCTCTCTCTCTGCCCCTCCCCCACTAGTTCTCTCTCTCTCTCTTTCAAAAATAAATAAATTAAAAAAAAACAGGTGCTTATTTTCCCTATAGTTCTGAAGACCCCATCGATCACATGACAATAAAAAAAAATCTACAAAATGTATCCCTTCTTTTAAAATCATCTTATTCTCTCTCAGGTTAATTTCCATCTAGGCAAAATGCCACACTTTATATTTCATCATAGTTTTATTGTTGTTTTCCCACTAGTTCACTGTCCAGGCTTGTTTCTTCTAGGACTTTATCACTGGCAGCCTGGTGAAGATGAAAAGAAGCAATGATTACTGGGTGGGACTGTCTCAGGATGGTCTCAGCAGGCCTTGGCTTTGGCAAGATGGCTCTGCTCCTCCCGCTGACCTGTAAGTGCTGGAGGGAATTGTTACAAGAAAAATGAGAAACATGCGAGAATTCAGAATTTCATTTTATTTCATACCTCAGATTTTCTCTGGAAGACCTAACCAGCATGACAATTTCGTAGACTTTTTATTGGAATCAAAGATGAGGTCATTTGGGGGCGCCTGGGGGGCTCAGTTGGTTATGCACCCAACTTCGGCTCAGGTAATGATCTCATGATTTGTGAGTTTGAGCCCTGCTTCTGGCTCTGTGCTGACAGCTCAGAGCCTGAAGTCTGCTTCGGATCCTGTGTCTCCCCCTCTCCCACTCATGCTCTGTTTCTCTTTGTCTCAATAAGAAATAAACATTAAAAAAAAAAAAAACACCTGAGGTCATTTAGGAGTAGCTTCAAGGCCTACTGCTATCACCCTCTAGCACATTCGCATCAAAATTAGAGACTCTGAAAGAGCAATATTTATAATTATCATTACATTTCTTGTGTACCATTTAATGGCTCAAGTGCTAAGGGAAAGAGAATACTGTAATTATTAAGCAATTTCCATATTAAAGTTATTAGATAGAAGTAGCGAGATTGGTGAACAGGATTCAACAGATGCCTTAATATTGTAAGAGTTAAGAGTCAAGAAAGAAATCCTAAGTTATAGCCAACTTTTGTGTCTCGATTTTTTTTAATATGAAGGATTTTGATATTATAGTAGCATATTTTAGGACGGTGCCAGAGGAGGATACCATATATATATATGGTATATATATATATATATATATATATATTTTTTTTTTAATGTTTATTTAGTTTTGAGAGACAGAGATAGAGCATGACGGAGGGAGGAGCAGAGAGAGGGGAAGACACAGAATCCAAAGTAGGCTCCGGGCTCTGAGCTGTCAGCACAGAACCCAACGCGGGTCTTGAACTCACGAACATTGAGATCATAACCTGAGCCAAGCCAGACGCTTAACCAACTGAGCCACCCACCCAGGTGCCCCAAGGATACCATATTAAAACAAAACAAAACAAAGAGCTACCGACCTCTCATTAGTTACCCACAAGAACAACACTGTTAGCCCCATGCCTAATGTTAGATTCACTGACTTTGCCTCTCCAGGTCGCCAATACAGACACGCCAGTCAAGTAACCAACTCTGTGGATATCTCAAGGACAAGGTCCTTTCTTCTGCTAACTGCAGCATTTGGAAATATTTTATCTGTGAGAAGTATGCATTAAGATCCTCCGTTTGAACAAAATTGTACTTGCAGTGATCTATTACAACGGTGTGTTGATCAGGCCATTGGAATATCTGCCACAAAATTCCAAAGAGCAAGTGAAGTATGCCTATGTGGGGGCTATGAAACTACCCACCTGGGACTCAAAACCTATCTCTACATTTATCCTTGGCAGTTTTCTTCAATGTTTTCCAGACCTTCAATTGACATTGTGTAAGTTGTCAAGAATAAAACTGACTTAGAGCTACTGAGAACAAAATCCTAAAAACTGAGCACAAACTGAAGAAAACTCATATTCTTGTGCTTTTTTCCCCAAGTACAGAGCAACTATAAACTCCACACAAAAATCTATAAACCCCTGGGGAGGTGATGCATTTCTAGCTGACTGGCTTTTTTTTTTTAATAAATAAGTAAATGTAGGCCTTTAAAGTCTCTGCCTGCCAGATCTTTCTATGCATTTTCTGGGCGTCCAGGCATTCTGCTATTGAACCTGTAGGAGGGTAAGACAGAGATATAGATTCTCAAGTTAGAAAGGTAACAGACAGCTATCTGCTGCCTGTAAGACAATACCCTTTTAGGATTGCAGAATTCTACTGGACCCTTGAACTACCAGCACTTCATATAAGTAGAAAGAGTAGTTAGGATGTCGGTATGAGTGCATCTCCAGTGAAGGACAGCTGTGAACTTCCTTCCTTCCACTCGCTGACTGTCCCTCCTACTCACAGATCAAAGGACTCGGGCTGGGACTCTCAAGGTTAACATTCTAGAACTTTGTTTTTTAATTTTTTAAATTTCAATTCCAGTAGAGTTAACATATGCAGTAGTATTAGTTTCAGGTATAGAATGTAGTGACTCATCAATTCCATACATCATCATGACAAGGGTACTCCTTAATCTTCATCGTCTGTCTAACCCATACCACCCACCCACTTTCCCTCTGATAACCATCAGTCTCCTCTCAATAGTTAAGAGTCTGTTTCTTGGCTTGTCTCTGTTTTTTATTTTCCATTTGTTCATTTGTTTTTTTCTTAAATTCCATATAAAAGTGAAATCATATGGTATTTGTGTTTCTCTACCTTATTCGACTTAGCATTATACTCTCTAACTCCATCCATGTCATCGTACATGACAAGATTTCATTGATTCCTTTTTATGGCTGAATAATATTCCAGTGTGTGTGTGTGTGTGTGTGTGTGTGTGTATGCATAAAACACCTTTATCCATTCATGAATTGATGGACACTTGGGCTGCTTCTATATCTAGGCTATTATAAATAATGCTGCTATAAGCACAGGGGTGCATGTATCCTTTGAATTAGTGTTCTTCTATTTTGGGGATCAATACCTAGTAGTGTGATTATTGGATCATAAGGCATTTCTATTTTTAACTTTTTGAGGAACCTCCGTATTGTTTTTGCAGAGTGGCTGCACCAGTGTGCATTCCTACCAACAGTGCAAGAACGTTCTTTTTGTTCCACATCCTTACCAACATTTATTGTTTCCTGTGTTTTTCATTTTAGCCATTGTGATAGGTGTAAGGTGATATCTCATGGTAGTTTTGATTTGCATTTCCATGATGAAGAGTGATGAGCATCTTTTCATGTCTGGTGGCCATCTGGATGCTTTTCTAGAGAAGTAACACTCCCACACTTTTAACTGTATCTCTCTGGGCCTCAATTTCTTCATTGTAAAATAGTATTAGGACTTACTTTAAAATATTGAGAATTAAATTATTAATATATGTTAATTGCTGCAAATATTGCTTTCCTAAGGTTTGACAATATATCAGTGTTCACTATTATTATCTGGAGTAAATTACCAGTCATCTGTAGGCATCGACGTTATGAGTGTAGTCCAGATAAAAATGACCCTTTTTCCTGCTCGAGTTACAGGAATATTGAGAAGATATAGTTCATATATAAAATGTCAGCAACTGTCTAGACACAATATCTGTTTTAAAGTTAATGGATCTACTCAAATAAATCTATAGACAATCTGAATCATAGGTCTGCAGGCTCCTTGTACATAGACCAAGTCATTCCCAAGACACAGGATACGGAAGTATCTTGTGATCTACAGGAAAGAAAAACTCATTAATTATTACTGCATTACTTTTGTTTGCCATCCTTAGAATAACTTACCACACAGTAGATTCTCATCAAATACCTGCTAAGTTCAATATAATTTTATTTCATTTTTTCATTTTTCACAAGAAGTAGCTGAGCTACATTAGATTCTCATCTTTCTTTACAATAAAGATACCGCTTTAATAAAGTAAAACAAAACAAACCCACTGAGGCAGTGGAGATCACTTAAATGAACCTAGAAGTCTATTGTAAAAAGTGACCTCCAAAGGTTAAGGTCTTTTAAGGATGGGGAGAGCATGTTTTCATGTTTTGTTTTTAATTTTTTTTAATGTTTATTTATTTTTGAGAGTATGGGGCAGAGAGAGAGGGAAGCACAAGATCTGAAGTGGGCTCCGGGCTCTGAGCCGTCATCATAGAGCCGATGTGGGGCTTGAACTCATAAACTATGAGATCATGACCTGAGCCGAAGTCAGACGCTCAACCAACGGAGCCACCCAGGAGCCCCTGTTTGTTTGTTTTTTTTTAAATTTACCCTGGACCTGGAGTTTAAATCGTGGGCCTTTCCATAAGAGGGATTTTTCCCTAATTTTCTGCTGAACGTAGAAAAGGAAAATAGCACAGAAAACACAGTGTAAGTTGAGTCCTGTGTTTGGTCGTCACAGCTGACAGCTGGCAGCTGAATATAATAACCTGGAATGAACGAGAAACAATAACAATTTGGCTGATTGTCTTCAAGATTCTGCAGAGTATTGTCATGGTACTGTTTGTAGAGAAAGGGTAGGAAGCATTTAATAACTCTTTTAGGAAAAAGTACAATGAAGCAAAAGGCAAACATCCTTCAGCCGATGTCACTCCATCGATATGTGATGCAGTATTTACAAACCAGAATCTTATCTACGGCGCAGCTGGTATGAGAACCTATAAATCTCTCCAGTGGCAATACTGCTTTTCACATAGATATTAAGGGTAGAATTTTTTTTTCTTTCAGGTTGCTTTTGGCCCAGAGTATCAAAGTCTTTTTCCAGGCACTGGTAAAGGATTGGGCCCTGGCACAGAGATAACAAGTTTTATATGTTAGTCCCACTAATACTAAATTGGATATCTTTCATCCATCTCATTGAAACCAAGTTAGCCTTAAGAAAAAAGAGGAAAGAAAACATAAAACCCACCCTGTCCTATAAATGTAAAGAAGCTTTGTGATATGCTATGGGTAACGTACAATAAGTGTGTAAAAAGAAAAACATTAGGATAGTGATATTGATAGAATAATACTATTAGATCCTAAAAATTTATTCATACAATGAACCTGTAAAAAGGTTATGTTAACTTTTACATAAGATAATGATTTTTTTGTATTCTTTGAAAATGGTGAGAATCCTTTTACAAAATATTTAATTCTCCAAATATTAAGGCCAAACCTAAGACAATCTACTAGACCCTTCTACATATTTCATAAGCGCTTATGTCTCCAGTGTAAAAGCTCCCCTTCCTTACACTTCTCACTCTTCCTGCTATTTCAGCGCCCATGATCTGTTTCCTGTTGATAAGTTTTAAGAGCTGCTTCAATATCCTCAGGAAAAGAAATAGCTCATTGTGTACCCTGGGGAACTCAGATCTACCAGGAAAGGCTATGTTCCTCATTTGACTTTTCCTGCAATTTCTTCAGACTTAACAAAACACACAAGAGCGTGGAAGAGAAAGGTCTTCCCAAGCCAAAAATTCATTCATGGGGTGCTACTTTCTGTGGTTACCCATGGAAACAGGTCCTGGCAAATCTTATTTTCAAGTTCGTGTCATGATTCATGATTATTCTCAATTATTTTCTTTTCCTATTCTTCTTTTTTCTTTCTTTCTTTCTTTCTTTCTTTCTTTCTTTCTTTCTTTCTTCCTTTCTTTGAGAGAAAGAGAGAGGATTCCAAGAAGGCTACATTCTTAGCAGGGAACCCGACACCAGGCTCTATCTCACAAACCATGAGATGGTGACCTGAACCGAAATTGAGAGTCCAATGCTTAACCAACTGAGCTACCCAGGAGCCCCCACTTCCTATTCTTAAATTAAAAAAAGAATTGTGGAGGGGCGCCTGGGTGGCTTAGTCAGTTAAGCGTCCGACTTTCGCTTAGGTCATGATCTCGCAGTTCGTGGGTTCGAGCCCCGCATCGGGCTGTGTGCTGACTGCCAGCTCAGAGCCTGGAGGCTGTTTCGGAGTCTGTCACTCTCTCTCTCTCTGACCCTCCCTTGCCCACGCTGTCTCTCTCTCTCTCTCCTAGAAATAAATAAAACATTAAAAAAAAAAAGAATTGTGGAGAAAATGTGCCATACTATTTTTCTGCTCTTTTGAAACATCTGCTCATATTGTGATCAGTGTTGTGAGTTTTGTGATACAGCTGATGAGGATGGAGGGCAAATACGGAGAGAGATGAGATTAGAATATGGTTAAGAAATCAGGTTAAGAATAACAAGAATGTCAAATAAATGCTATTTTTTTTCCTTCTTCACTATCTAAAGTGACATGTTCCCTTAGGTTGCAGATTTGAAGGGAGAACACTTTTCAATGCCCACTTTCCAGGCAGCTAGTCTCTGTAAAGTAATGACATTTAAAGAGACACTTCCCATTCACCCCTGAACAAGACTGCAGTTATGTAGGATGCTAGGGGTCAAAACAATGTGCGCTGGGTCCCTATTTTACAACTTAGTGAACAAAATCGTTTGACTTTTTCATATTAACCACATTTTCTTCCTGTAATAACAAGACTTAAATAACACTGAATTGCTTAACTAAAGTCCTAAACCACATTACCTGCTATGTGCTTGTTTTATTAATTGCATTCATTAACTATCTGCACTCATCATAAAAAAAACATTTGGCAATATCCACAGCTTCCTAATGTAAGTGCCTCTCTATAATTCACTAATGAATACAGATATCCCAAAAGGGTTATTTATGCTTTTTTGTGGTCCTTTATTTAAAAATAATAGGGGTGCCTGCATGGCTTAGTTAGTTAAGCGTCAGACTCTTGATTTCTGCTCAGGTCATGATCTTAAGGTTCATGGGATCGAGCCCTGCTGACAGCAGAAAGCCTGCTTGGTATCCTCTCTCTCCTCTCTCTCTGGATCACCCTTGCTCACAGTGCCTCTCCCAAAATAAATAAATAAACTTTAAAATAAATCTCTAAATCCCTTTTTTAATGTTTTATTTATTTCTGAGAGAGAGAGAGAGAGACTATGTGAGCAGGGGAGGGGCAGAGAGAGAGAGGGAGACACAGAATCTGAAACAGGCTCCAGTCTCTGAGCGAGCTGTCAGCACAGAGCCCAATGCAGGGCTCGAACCCATGAACCATGAGATCATGACCTGAGCCGAAGTCAGACACCTAACCTACTGAGACACCTTGGCACCCCACTAAATTCCTTTTTAAAATATATTGTTAATGTCTTTTATGTTTTATATCCCAATTTAGATTATAAAACTAATTTCATATGTACCTCTTGTCAGCTAACAATAGCACCACGAGAAAATTCTAAACACATTTCCACTCTATACTGAATGAAATAAACTTCGTGAGTTAAGTGATTTGCCCAATAATAAATCAGAACAGGGGATCTAAAAATCTCATTTTAAGACCACAAATGCAGTTATTTTGGCACAACACAATCAAGACAACATTTGTACAACACTGAAGAAATTTCCTAATGAATCAACAGAAAATTGAAAGGAAAATTAATTCATAAGGAAGAAATCCACAAGTAGTGATTGCTAAGTAATACAGTCTTATAGAAATGAATTCAGAAATACTCTTTGTTATATGATTGGTAATTTACTGAAAAGAAAACTGAAGCACCTTAGTTTTCACTGCTGAAAAATAAAGATTTATAATAGACTCTCTTTTCTAGTATGAAATCCCTAAAACTGATTTTTCCATAAATCAACAGTCAGTGGTCGTGATGGTGTTATTTACTGTGACACCTGTTATGATTGTGCATATTGGCTTCCTGAGATCGGAACACTTACACAAGGAACCAGTGATGTGTGCAGATGTCACAGGTTCTCTTCCTCTTTCCAGGACCTGATTAGATAACTCACCCTATTAAAGTTTCCTTGACTCATCTTTAGCCATGTGTGGAAGACCACCTTGCCTCAAAAGGTTTCATCTCAGGAAAGTGCTGAAATCACCTTCTTGAAGACAGCGTGCTTCTCAAAGCCTTATCTTCTTCAGATGATCAAATAATCAGTACTCTTGTAGAGTCCCTGCAAACTCTCTGTACGGCACAAACAACAAAAACACAGGTCGCTAGCATAGTTTGAAGAGCAACTCCACACTGAAAATTTCACCAAATCACAAATCTATTCTCAAATCACATACATTTCACATTATTGACATTTATTATTATTAAGTCTTCAGTACCTGAAAGGCATAAACATGGATCAAATGGAAGAATATAGGAAGTGAAACCATATGATTACAGACTCACAGAGACTGACTTTTGCTCTGGTCTTCAATCTCTATGAAGGGAGGATCAGGGGCAGTAATGGGGATACAAAACGGAGCTGAGTGTTATTTCTTTCCTGGAACAAATTCCTGGGGAAAGGAGATAATTGTTGGAGTCCTAAGTGAATATGGGAGGGTATGTTCATAAGAAGTTATGATTCTAATAAAGAGGATTATCCCAGTGGGAAGCAAACCATAGGCAGGGCAGATGGGGGCTTTATGGAGAGACCAGGAAGGAAAAAGTATGGACTGAAGGAAACAGAAACAGAAAGAATTAGTTACATGTTTAGGAACATTGTATAGGAAATGATTGTTAATTTCTCACGGTCTACTTGACCTTTGGAGCAAAGAATGTTACACACATTTACTTCCTCTACTTCAGTAAGTTTCTCACTTCTCCAAGTGTTAAGGAAGAAAGACGTGGAAACAGGGAGATGGTATTAGATGCTGAGAACGAAGAACACTAGAAAGCTTTCTCTAAGTCAAGAAAGTGGAATACAACTTTATGAGAGTCTGGGACTGAATGGTGGCACATATATAGGACTGCTTTGTGGCTTGTAAGAATTTGTATGAACCCAAGCTCGGAAGTGGTGGTGGTCCTGAGCAGGAACATGAAAGTCCTCCTGGTACCTGTCGGAAAAACTGCCTTTCCTCATTTTTTCCCATTTTCCAATGTCTTGAATATCCTTTGCATTGACCTGGCTTGGCTCAACCAGCTTGCTGATTTGTTGTATAAACATGGCTCCGATGGGAGAAAAAAGGAACTGAAACCAATTATTACAGGGCCGCATAAAGAAATTGACTTTTGCTCTGATCTTCAGTTTCCCTGAAGGGAGCTTAACATTGTAGTTATGGTCGAAGAGTCAATCACCTTCACGTAATGGCTCAGAGAAGCTAAAGGAGGCTCTCAAACTTCACTGTTGCCGCCTTTTTTTCACAAGCACACCGCCTCAACTCTTTGCAGTCCTTTGAGAAAGCCTTTCCATTGAGGATGGTCACACAGTCCCTGCTTCGTAGGCTGGTGAAATCTATTATAATCTCAAACCTTCAAGAAAGAGAAAAAGGTTAACTGAATCATAGTTTACTTCTAAAATGACATATTAAATACCCAGAGAGTACATAGGGAGTATTCTTAGCTTGATAAAATTATAGAATAGATATACAGAATGAATTTACTAGAGATGGGGTCACAAGCTCTTTCTTTTCAGCCCTTCAACTTCCATACTCATTCTTAGAATCATAAGTTCATTAAAACAAAACAAAACAAAACAAAACAAAAACCTATTCCTACTTAAAACTAAGATGCATGCTATAACCCATCAAATTTATCATATGATTTTCCCACCATCTGAAAAATCATCTGTGACTCAGTTTAATTAACGATAAAATAAAAAATGATTACACTGATTATGTCCTACCTCCTGCGAGAAGAAATCCTATACAATATATAGAGAGGAAAGGCATCTCTCCCAACATGACTTTAAATAATATATTTTGACATAGATATTACATTTACCTATTTCAAAAGATACCATGACAATCCTACCTAAATGCTCACATAAGTAAAAGTAACTTTTGATAATATTACTCTTACAATGTCAGCAAATCTTTTCTCAGAAACTGTACTTTTATTTTATAAAAACAAATTTTTTTCTAATGTTTATTTTTGAGAGAGAGAGACAGAATGTGAGCAGGGGAGAGGCAGAGAGAGAGGGAGACACAGAATCCAAAACAGGCTCCAAGTTCTGAGCTGTCAGCACAGACACTGATACGGAGCTCAAACTCACAGACTGCAAGTCTGTGACCTGAGCTGAAGTCAGATGCTTAACTGACTGAGCCACTCAGGCGCCCCAGAAATTGTACTTTTAAAGAGGTGCTCCCCATTATACTACACAGAAGGCCAAAACGTCTGAGGTCTTACATTATCTCTGGGAATTGAGAAGTTGTGAAGCTGTGTGGTCTTAGGCAAGTCACCATCATTACCTGGGTTTCAGTTTATTCACCCATAAAAGATCACTTCCCCTCCTACCCTTTCTCCTCCACGTCTTTCTTCCTTTCTCTCTCTCTTTGTCTCTGTTTCCTTCCCTCAGCGAAACCCTGACACTTGATAATGCTCCAAGGGACTTCAGACCCTGTAATAAAACTCTGAAAGCATCCAGATGGAGAACTGCCCCTACTATTTTGCTAACATTTTGTATGTCTCCTTCACTGGTTTATAAGCCATTCAAAAGCAAGCACTATGTTTTCTTTTCATAATTCTTTGTCTACCCTCTTACAAACTTAGTACTCAATGCAAAGCAGATGTCTGGTCAATACTGATGGAACCAAATTGTTGAACTCTGTCACTCAAGCAAAATCTCTCTCTTAAATGCTTTTCCCACAAAATGTTCTGAAGGCTTACAGTTCAGAGGAGTAAGGGGTTCCATCGGTCCATAGCCAGGCCTTTCCACTGCCGTTGCGGGATAGCCCTGTCCAATAAGAGTAGAAAAACTCAGAGTAGCTCTGAGGCATGGCAAACTCCTGTGAAAGGCACACAAGAAAATCTTTAGCTTTAGATACGTTATACCCTATGTACACAGAGATGTGTAGGCACAGCCAACACTTTAAAAAAATTTTTAATGTTTATTTTGCTTTTGTGAGAGACAGAGCATGAGCAGGGGAGGGGCAGAGAGAGAGGGAGACACAGAATCAGAAGCAGGCTCCAGACTCTGAGCTGCCAGCTCTGTGCTGACATGGGGCTTGGATTCATGAACCTGAGTTCAAGATCATGACCTGAGCCAAAGTCAGGCACTCAACCGACTGAGCCACCCGGGTGCCCCAACACTTTTAGTACAAAAACAAGGGTCCTGCCCCACACAGGTGATCGTACACTTGAGAAAAAGTGTCTGTGCTGAGCTCAATTTGTCCAAGTGAAAGAGTTTATCTTGTCTTAATAATTATGGTATACTGATATTCTGAAACCAAGAATCACATCAACCAAGGTTTACAAATGATTATTTTCAAATCAAAGAGTAAGCACTAAGATTTATCTAAAAAATATGGGAGGCAGATTTACAAAGAGATGTGAGGTAACTCTGGGAAATGGAAGACTGTGGAAGGAAAAGAGTAAACGTGAGGGAAATAACTTTTATCCATATATGCAAAAGGAATTGACTCAGAAGGAGAAAAGACTAATGAATATAATTTAATGCAAAAAGAAATAAGAGAAAATTTGGAAGGATGATTTACGTCTCAGACAAGGAAGGGAAGAGAAATTTTTCATGTGTGTGTATATTTATATTTTTGTATAGTATTACATATATACATATATATTCATATATATAATTTCTTCCCTACTATGTATATTGAAAAAATTTTAACTTACTTACTTCCTTCTATCTAGTCTCACTCTTTAACATAAAAATTATATAAATTTGTGATAATTATCCATTTTTATCTCCTTATTTTCCACTATATCATGAGTTCCTTAAGGACACATACTTTGTTTTATGTCTTCAACCCTTCAGTTAGTTTAATGGCACATGTTTGTTCAATAAAAGATTATTGGCATGTATGTGAAAGTATCACTAAGTAATAGTCATCTAGTAGACATATCAAAAGAAGTGTAGTTGAGCGGCACCTGGATGGCTCAGTCGGTTAAGCATCCGACTTCAGCTCAGGTCATGATCTCATGGTTGGTGGGTTCAAGCCCCATGTCGGATTCTGTTCTGACAGCTAGCTCAGAGCCTGGAGGCTGCTTCAGATTCTGCGTCTCCCTCTCTCTCTGACCCTCCCCTGCTCACACACTCTCTCTCTCTCAAAAATGAATAAAACATTAAAAAATTTAAAAAAAGAAGTGTAGTTGAAAATACTTCCAACTGAATGGTAGAACCCTCAAATTAAAAGTTCTGAATATAAATCAAATGAAAATGATTTAAATATATACAATTGTATGAAGCATGAGAGAATGTCACTATATATCTTTCATGATATTCCCTACTATTATATATAATACATTCCAATTATATACCTGAGTCCTCAGTATGTGCTAGAGGTAGAGATAAAACAAAGAGAATTTAAAACATTAGATGGCCTTATGGTAGGATACATTGTCTTAGTCAAATAAGTTACCTCCTTTTCTCCCTAAATTGAGCCATCAAGAAAGGATAAAAAATATTTTAGTAGTTGAGAGTGCAGAGTTGCATTCATCACAGATTTCAGAAAGTGGGTAGGAATTAAGATGTAACGAGAAGGGTGTTAAGAGTTTGCATAGTGAGCTGGGCATTTATTCAATTAAATAATCCTTTGTTGATAAACTACTCTGTGCCAAGCCTTCCACTAAAACAATGATAATAAACAATGGTCACACTACTTGAGGGATTAAATCCAAAGGCAATAATAAATATTTTTTTACAGTTGGCAACAATTACATGATTTTTATAGTTTAATTGCATATACTTAATAATATCAATTTATAATTTTATTTTCATAATTTTCTTGACCAGTCTATGTTAGGTTATAAACTTCTGGAAGGCAAAATATTTATTTACAGATTATAGTAATGATTTAATTAATTAAATATTTTTCATTAAAGGCGTTGTCTCTTCAAAATGGAAGGACAGGAAGTGCTATATTCATCTTTCTGACATTGCATCCAATATTGTGCCCTTCCTGCCCAAATCCAAAGAAGTGAGAAATGAAAGAATTTTTAAATTTGATTCCGAGTGGATGGAGATTTTGAAGAGCTTCCCCTCATAGTTCTAAGGCGTGGGTTTTTTGTGGAGAACTGAAAACGTCTTATTACGTACCTCAGGGAATCATTCAAAACAACAGAAATAAGACTCGGGTTCAAGTGTGAGACTGTGAATATTGACTCCTTAGAGTCTTCTTATAGGGCTCTTTTAAAGACCTCCTCTTGGGGTGCCTGGGTGGCTAGGTCGGTTAAGCATCCGACTTCAGCTCAGGTCATGATCTCATGGTTGGTGCGTTCAAGCCCCACAACAGACTCTGTGCTGACTGCCAGCTCAGAGCCTGGAGTCTGCTTCAGATTCTGTGTCTCCCTCTCTCTCTGACCCTCCCCTGATCAGGCTGTCTTTCTCTGTCTGTCTCTCTCTCAGAAATAAATAAAAGACTAAAAATTTTTTAAAAAAATAATGAAGACCTCCTTTTGAGAACAATTCAAGCACTGACTAAGCCTCAGGATCTTACCAGCACTTCTTGTGTGTTTATCTTCAGCATGGTTGCATTCTCCGCAATGCAGAAATATTCACAGCCTTGCCAACTTTTGCTCTCTCTACAAAATCGGTAGCATTTGTCGCCATGCCATTTCCATTCTTCTGGACAAGGACTGCATCTGTGTTCTTAGAAAGAAACCAATTTTGATAAGTTATTTTCCATCTAGGTCTAACTCCTTTCCTTTTGTGAAGTTATATAGTACTTGACGACTCAAGAAAGAATTGATGCCCTTTCTCTTATTTAGTTGCCCAGGTAATGATAACTACAAATATTTACCGAACACCTTCTATATGCCGCAAGTTGTTATTGGTACTGAGTATACAGTGAAAATTAAAAATTAACATAGGGGTTCCTGGGTGGCTCTGTGGGTTAAGCTCTGACTTTGTCTCAGGCCATGATCTCACGGTTGGTGAGTCTGAGCCCCATGTAGGGCTCTGTGCTGACATCTCAGAGCCTGGAGCCTGCTTCAGATTCTGTGTCTCCCTCTCTCTCTGCCACTCTCCCACTCTCACTCTATCTCTGTCTCTGTCTCTCTAAAATAAATAAACATTAATTTTTTTTTTAATTTAAAGCAGACACTACCTGCTTTCATGGAGTTCAGACCCTAGCAATGAATGATTGGAACTTCCTTGCTTCTGCCATATGTAATTCAGCACACAGAGGATTTTCAGTTTCATAAAGAGCTTTTCATTAAGCGTGGTACTTAAGAAACAACTTAAAATTCCATAAGTTTCTTCCTTAAAATTCTCTTGAATAATTGTAAAAAAAATTTTTTTTTGAGAGAGAGCATGCACATGCATGTATTCAAGCAGGAAAGGGTCAGAAGGGAGAGAGAGAATTCCAATAAGGCTCCACACCCTGCCCAAAGCCTCATGAGGGGCTCAGCTTCCCAACCATGAGATCATGACCTGAGCCAAAATCAAGAGTTAGATGCTTAACCGACTGAGCCTCGGAGGCATCCAGAGGATTTTTTAAAATGCAATTTATACCAATAAGATATGGACTTTTTTCTCATTCTAAAAAAAGCCAGTAAAATTTTAGGGAAAAAAAGGCATAAATGCTAAGCAAAGTATGAATTAGAAGGGTAAATCTCCATGTGTCAGAAATTAAGATGGGCCCCACAGTCAGAAAAGTTAAGTGCACAGGTCAAGGTTGAGATGGACTATGTGGGTAGAGGTTGTAAGTATAGGAACTACTCCCTGAAAGCCATGGTTTTAACACTGGTGAAGGTACATGGCCTTGGGCTTTTGAGAATGGAGATTTGTATAACCACCTCCCTTATGGTGGCATGGGAGCTCATTCATTCCATAAAAATGTGTCTATTGTGGGGCGCCTGGGTGGCTTAGTCGGTTAAGCATCCGACTTTCGCTCGGGTCATGATCTCGCGGTTCGTGGGTTCGAGCCCCGCGTTGGGCTCTGTGCTGACTGCCAGCTCAGAGCCTGGAGCCTGTTTCAGTCTGTGACTCCCTCTCTCTCTGACCCTCCCCTGCTCACGCTGTCTCTCTCTCTCTCCTAGAAATAAATAAAAAACATTAAAAAATTTAAAAAAATGTGTCTATTGTAAAAACAATCCAGTGTCAGAATGTTAACATGTTAAAGTGTGAATGGTCAATGTGCTAATGATATTATGTTATTGTTTGCATTAAAAAAAAATATTTCCTAAGGTAAAACAAAGTTTTAAGTAAATAAATAAGATAGGAGATTTCTTTGTAAGTTAGTTGATATTTCTGGCCCAGATCTTATACCAAACTACTTACTCAGCTCTCTACTTAGATATCCACATGATACCTTAAATTCAACAGGCCCAAAACAGTGTTCCTGGTTTCTAACCTTCCCTCTCATGACTACAGAATTCTTCCCCATTTCACCTGATCACATCTCTCTAATTTCATTGTCCAAAAACTCTGGAGGTAGCCTTGACTCCTTTATTTCTCTCATCTCCCATTTTATTCCATCATTCATTCATCCCCACCAATAATATCCTAACTTGAGACAACATCACCTCTCCTCTGGATTACTGCAAAAGCCATCCCTAATGTCATTTCTTTGTTTTCACTCTTCCTTCCTCCAGTCTATTTTCAACATACTTGCAGAGTGAGCCTTTCAAAACTCCTGTCAGATATATATTTCCTCTGCTCAAGATGCTGTAATGAATTCGTGTTTTGCTCAAAATAGAAGCCAAATCACTTACTATGTCACCTAATGCCGTAAATAATCACTATCATATCCCCCATTAGTTCTCCACTCCCTCACTCTGCCCCCGGCACACAGGCTCCTTATTATTCCCTGAACAGGCAGCTACATTCACTTGAGGGCTCCTGCACTTCCTTTCTCCCCACCCGGCTGGTTCTTTCCCCATATGTCTACATGGCTAACTCACCCCAACTCTTCAAATCTTTGCTCCTACACCCTCACCTTAATTAGGAATTTATGGTACTTTATTTCCCATAGGATTGATTACCTTCTTATATATTATGTTTAATTTGACCAACCATTTCCGTGTGCCTGAAACCTGGGCTTTCCCAAAATGTGGGACTTTTAATAATAAAACTGTAAGAGTTTCCCGCAAACTGGGACACATTGATCAACATATTTTATGTTTTTAAATCTAGTTATTACCACCACCTCAAAACAGCAAGAGGTCTGTGAGGGGAGAAATCTGTGTATACTTTGCATGGTATGCATCAGTAAGTGCTCAATAAATCTTTTAAAAAAATTTTTGAGGGGCGCCTGGGTGGCTTAGTCGGTTAAGCGTCCGACTTTCGCTTAGGTCATGATCTCGCGGTTCGTGGGTTCGAGCCCCCCATCGGGCTCTGTGCTGACTGCCAGCTCAGAGCCTGGAGCCTGTTTCAGTCTGTGACTCCCTCTCACTCAGACCCTCTCCTGCTCACGCTGTCTCTCTCTCTCTCTCCTAGAAATAAATAAAACATTAAAAAAAATTTTTTTAATGTTTATTTATATTTGAGCGAGCGAGAGAGAGAGAGAGTTCCTGTTGCGCTCGGCTAGAGCATGAGTGTGGGAGGGACGGGAGGGAGGAGACAGAATCCGAAGCAGGCTCCAGGCTCTGAGCTGTCAGCACAGAGCCAAATGCAGGGCTCCAATTCACAAACCGTGAGATCATGACCTGGGCCGAAGTCAGACACCTAACCTACGGAGCCACCCAGGCGCCCCAGTAAGTGCTCAATAAATCTTAGCAGAGTGGAAGGAAGGAAGGAAGGATGGAAGGATGGATGGATGGATGGATAATGGGAAAGAAATGGAGAGTAGCAGAATAAAACAAAACTAACATCAAACGAAAGCTGTATGAACATTTTTACGGGAATAAGGGATATCATTAACAGATTGCATGTGGATTTTATATTTAAACGAAACACAGTTTACTTGCCTATACAGCTTTCTTTTTGTTTGTATACAGGTAGCTGTAAATTCCATAGACCACTGGTTTCAGAGAAACTTGGATTACCTTTCGATGACATGGCAATCAACACAGAAGACAACATACAGTGGGGTTGTTCAGAAACCCAAGAAGGAAAAAAACAAAACTATATGAGGCAGTACATTTATTGATTTTCTTGACCTTGACAATGATTGTATAATGTATGTATATATTAAACCATCTCGTTGTACACTTTAAATATATCCAATTACATTTGTCAATTATTCCTCAATAAAGTTAACAAAGAAAAAAAAATGTGACCAGTGAGGTGATTAGTCAGGTGGAAAAGAATCACTTAGAGAAATGGAAGCATGCATGTGGGTGTTATTTACTGGGTAACCATACAACCTGGCTGTCTGGTTAGTGTGGGAAATGACACGCGTCTGGAGGAGGGAGACTTCATCCTAATCTAAAGTCTCTGACAGAAAAATAAAAAGTAGCAACTCAAAATGTGTGTTGTTTCCTATGGTTACACAATGAGCCGAACCGAAGAGAAGACTAACTTGAACAGAGCTAGATATTATGAAACCCAAAAAAAGACAGGAGAAAAAGGCCTGGGAATGAGGTGATGTTTCTGGTCTTGTCCTGCAGTGGTCATCAAAGCATGAGTCATTTATCACTAGCATTGTCATCATTACGGCAACGCGGATTTCTGGTACCCAGACAAGGCAGAGTGGATTTAAATAACTGCAATTTGATTCTGCTTATCAGCATTTTTAACCTGGTGCCAGTATGATTTTTAATTTTTTTTTAAATGTTTACTTATTTTTGAAAGACAGAGCACAAGCAGGGGAGGGGCAGAGAGAGAGAGAGGGAGACACAGAATCCGAAGCAGAAGCTGTCAGTACAGAGCCCAACACGGGGCTCGAACCCACAAACCGTGAGATCCTAACCTGAGCCGAAGTCAGATGCTTAACTGACTGAGCCACCCAGGAGCCCACACCAGTATGATTTTTAAAATGTGACAACTATAGTTATGAGCTCATTAACTGCTCAGTGGGAAAAGATTTATACTCATTGGGAAATGTATATTACATTGTTATGCGCCAAGGTAAGTTGAGAAATAACTTTGTATTTTATTTACTTGCACTGTTATTTTGGATATTCAAAGTTACTTGTTTTACTGTTTAAATTGTCTGAATTTGAAGAATCTTTTTTATGCATTATAGTACAGATGTACCTGAACTAAAGGATCCCAGGAACTGGGGATGGGAGGTGCCCAACTAACTACATATTATGTGACTCCCAGGTCCACAGGTGGGAACGTCAGCTCTATAATGGCAGATATCCTGGAATGGAGGGAGCTTAGTGATCAGGACTCACCTCCAGTTTTGTTATAGAGCACACGACACAGTTTTTCAGCCACATGCTGCAGAATTTCTGCAAGCTTCCTGTTCTTTGTCTGGAGAGACTGGAGCTGTCGGGAGAGATTCCCCAATCTTTCTTCCTTGTTAGAAATGCTGTCTTGCTGAGTATTGGAAAGCTGGTAGAACTGAAAAACTAACCCAAGTTACCAAGTCAGACTGGACAGCTCATTTCTTCATTTCTATTTCCCCTTTTTACGTATGTGGAAGAAAAACCATTGTATTGTTTAAGACCTCCTGCTGTGAGATTTCCTATTGCGCATATTCAAGTTTGAACTGCAGTACATAATAAATTGTATTGTCTCAAGCAACTTAATTTGTCAAGTCTGTCTTTTTATCTGAAAATGTGGAATCAGAATAACAGTTTCTAACTTTAGGGCTAAATCTTCAACCATTTTTACTGCTCAATAAATATTTTGTGCATACTCTTAAACCACTGCTTAACCCAAAACCACAAATCCACTCATCTAATAATGATTATATTGAGTATGGACAATTACCATATATTGTAATCTCAGTCACTAACGTAGTCATATTATCATTTCCATATTTTTTATAGATTCCCACAGGGTTCAGTGAGAACAAGCAACGTCTTTAATATCTCTTGTCTAGAAAATTTCAACCCTTAGGTTTAAACTCCAGATTTCTATATCTAAGTAGAAAAACCCTTCATGAATCACGAAAGTTGCTTTATATCCCTAAAAGTAATGGCTGTCGTAAAACAAATTGTATCAAAATGAATTAAGAATTTGTAGGTCATGGTAGAAACACTAAGAAATATATTTTTTTGATTTACGATAACAAACTAACATTTCTACAATTTCCTATAAAAACCAAATGTTTGACATTCAAACCTGCTCTTCAAGGTAACCTTTTACCTTGAACCACCTTCTTCCACTGCTCAGGAAATGATACTATAGTCTCAATCTCATGAAGCAAATTCACCCACTACGTTTTTCGTTGTGTTTTTTTTGTTTGTTTGTTTGTTTTTTTTAGTTTTTGATCTTGTCCTTCTTGGTTTGAAATTTAAAGACTTTTTCACATGCATTTTTTCCTTGTTTAGTTTTCACAAGATTTTGCAAAAATGATCCTATAACTTTTTGGATTTTCTGAAAAATATTGTGATAATTGAGGACCCAGTCTGTCCTCCTTCTATTGAGGGAGTAGATATAAATGAAATCTCTTCCCTCGGTATTAGCCTGCTGAGTCATGCATACTAAAAGCAAAAACCACGCCTCTACTCTTTTGTAGAATAAAAGAGGGTCAAATCATGTATTCATTAAAAATTGCTGATTTTAAATATCAAAATGGAAACAGACAAAAACCTGCTGATCTCCAATAGAATATAAAAGTCTAGCTGGCAAGTGATTGCTGCATTTTATGCTTTAGAGTAAGGTACATGGAACTACCCACAGACTCCAGAATTAAGGAAAAAAAAATTTTAAACAAGTATTTCTCATCCCAGACAAACCTTAGAATCAAGATCCTCCCCCAGGTCAGAGCGCAGACTTACACACAAGCCCCAGGGCCAACAGGCCAAGGAGCAGCACCAAACACAGTGACAGCAGGGTCAGGGCCACTGGACGCCAAACTGAAGAGGGAGGCCGGGTCTCTGTAGGGAATAAAGGAAAAGGCAGCATTTCGCATTTTCTTCCTCTGGATCTATGCCACCAACAGGCAAGTGAGAAGAGCTGGTTCTGGGAAGGAACACATTCTACAGGACAACAGTAAGTAATCAGAAGCTAGATAACATTCCCTCGGTCTTCAGGAATGTTGTCAAAGGGTTCACTGCCAATCACTTACATGGCAGGATTCCTTCACCAGCCCCAGTGATTTCCAACGCCTTGCCCCTCTCAGTTCTACTGTGTCCTGCATCAAGTAATGCATTGCCAATATCTTTATAAAGCGGTTTGTGTAACCTTCTGCTTGCCGCACTTTGAGTTACGAAAGACACAGAAATGCCTCCACGAGGAACTGTTTTTCACATCATCAGAGAAAAGGTGAAAATAATTTGTTGTTACTTTTGCACAACATTGCCCCATCAAGTTCCATATGTGTATCTTCTGAAAAGCAAATTGCATATGAGTAATGAGAGGTGAACACTTTACTATTTGCTTTGGGGGATTTCTTTGAAAGTCCCTTTTTTGTAAAGGTTTTGTTGGTTCATTTGATTTTTTGTTCTGTAAAAATGGACTATCAAGAAACAGGATCATCAGGTTCTCAAGAATGGATCTAAGCTATCTCAGTTTAGAACAGTTAAATAATAAATGCTGCACCCCCACAAGTTTGACTTGTGGTAATTGCGGAGGATCTACTGGGTCAACAATGAGCCCATCTCCCGCTAAGGCTAGCTATCAATCTGAATGACCTGTGATATGCAGCAAGGAAGACCCAGCCCCCACCCCCTAAGTGCTTGTAGCATCTAGCACTATGATTTAAATGAACAAAGCACCCTCAATAAAGTTCTGACACTTCCTTGAGCTGTGTTTCGCTTCACTGGGAATTTAAGTCACTGTTCTAAAACAAACAGATTAAAGATGTACAAATACATCTCCTCTTTAGGTAAGTCCTGCACATAACGTATTCTACGCACAGAAATTTGTGTTACACATTATTTCCAAGTGGGGAATGGGAAGTGGTAAAGACAGTATAGAAAAAGAAAATGTGTGGGGCGCAGGGTGGCTCATCCAGTTAAGAATCTGACTCTCTTTAAAATTTTTTTAAATCATTTATTCCTTTTTGAGAGAGAGATTGAGTGAGGGTGGGGGAGGGGCAGAGAGAGAGGGGGACAGAGAATCCAGGCTCCAGGCTCTGAACTGTCAGCACAGAGCCTGACACAGGGCTGAAACCCACAAGCGGGGAGATCAGGATCTGAGCCGAAGTCGGACACTCAACTGGCTGAGCCTCCCAGGTGCCCCAGGAATCTGACTCTTTATTTCCGCTCAGGTCATAATGTCATGGTGTGTGAGCCTTCTCTCTTTTTTCTTTTCTCTATGCTCCTCCCTCTCTTTCTCTCTCCAAATAAAATAAACAAATATATTATTTTGACATTGATATTGATATATTTTCAAATCTGAATCTTATTTTCTACTAATAAGCACCTCCATAAAAACTGTCACTGGATTGTATTACAGTGAGAATAAAATCCAAATCCCTTTTTATGAAGATTCAGATTGCTATTTTAAAATATAAATAATAAATTTGATAATGTTATTTCCCAACTTAAAAACTACCAATAGCGTTTTCGCACTTAAAGTAAAACACTACAAGAGGCTTTTTCTTCTGGACCCTACCTAGTTCTTTCATTCTTTTCTGAACTACTCTCTGCCATTCACATATTCTATGCACAGTGGCCTCTGTTTAACCTTGAAACAAGCAAACTTGACCCTATCTTAGTATCTTTGTGTTAGCTCTGTCTCTGTTCCTGCATTAAATAATTGCTAAGCTAGTTCTTAGTACTCAGATTTCCATTTACATGGCACACCCTTGGAAGAGGTTCAGGAGTTCATTTCATTTTTTGTGTTTGTTTCTTTATTTTGAGAGAGAGAGAGAGAGAGAGAGAGAGAGAGAGGGAGAGAGAATCCCAAGCAAACTCCGCACTGTCAGTACAGAGCCCGATGTGGGGCTTAAACCCTCGAACCGGGAGATCATGACCTGAGCCAAAATCAAGAGTCAGACACTTACTCAATTGAGCCACCCAGGCACCCTTAACTTTGTTGATTTTTAAAAATGTATTGATTTTTCAGCAGTATTTCTGACAGCAGAAGGTAGACTCAACTAAATTCATCTTCTAGCCATACTGGTTTTTATTCACTGACTTGTGTGAGGTTCTGAATCATGAACAGATATTGGAGTGATTTGCTTTCTTCCCTATTTCCTTCAATTAACTGACCTATGTGATTTGGTCTAAATTGTCCTGGAAATTATCGGATTATCAAGGCATTGACCTTAAGAGGATCTCAAATAAACAGAACATAAGAGAACAAGATCAGAGGCCAGAACATAGCTGACACTAAGCATCCTCTCCAAACCCGAGTCTTTTTAAAGTTCTTTATGGCCAAAAAAAACCCTTAAATAGGTGAGTATTTCTAAACTCCAGAGGTACTAGTACATATGTGGACCCACCTCCACCAAGGTGACTTTATTTTGCTCTATATATCTTAATACTATCAAATATATTATATATCTTACTCATTTCTTTTGGTTTTTATCTGTCTTACCCCAGTAGAAAGTTAGCTCTTTTTGAAGACGATTATTGTCTACTTAGTTACTAGAAAAACATCAGTTCTAGTGCCTAGAAAATCAGGTGAAATAAGCTCAATTAATGTTGAAGGAAGGATGGAAGGAAGGAAGGAAGGAAGGAAGGAAGGTTGGTTCCAATAAACAGTACTGCCTCTTCTAAGGCATTAACCTTAGTGTCCAATTTCCTGTCAATTATTTCTTGAGCGGCCAATGCAAAAGAGACATTTCTAGTTAATTGGTCAAGGAAAGAAGGAAAGAAGGAAGGAAGGAAGGAAGGAAGGAAGGAAGAAAGGAAGGAAGGAAGGAAGGAGTGTGTGGATTATATATAAATATCTGTCATATGCCTATCTACTCCTGCTTAACCCTATTTATATTAATACACTCTGAAAGGCATAAACTATATTTTAAATGCTGTTCTCATTTTATGATTGGTATTATTCTGGCCCAAGTTATAAATAATAAGAGGGTAAAGGAACAGAAAAACTATGGAAGTCAACCAAACTAGCCCTTAAGAAACCTGCTTTTCTGTGTATAACATTGCGATCAAGAGAGGTGTAGATCTTCTACCGAAAGAATAAAGAAGAAGAATCTTAAATCTTTACTGTAAAATGAGGGCCTGGACTTAAATCGTTAGAATATTATTTAACAATAATTATATCCATATAAAGAATGAAGACTTAATCCTTCCTAAGATTACTCTAGGACAGAAGACAAAAGCAGTATGCTATGTCTTCTGCTAAGGAGCAAAGTTACAAAAATTCCCTTCTAAAGAAGGGAGGTTGCAACCTGTGAAGGAGAGACAAAGGTAGAGGATACATTAATAGCCTGAATCTGTTCATGAAGGGTTTGGACATCAAATAATTCTAAAATTAGAATGATTCCAAATACCAAGTAGGTGATTTTGGATGTTCTCCCAAGTGTGGGCGGTATTATTATGTTGGAAATGAGTAACACAGATCCAATTATACTCCTTGTGACATCGAAGGGCTAAAAGAGATTTTAGAAAACTTACTTCATTTCTAATAAACAGTACTGCCTCTTCTAAGGCATTAACCTTAGTGTCCAGTTTCCTGTCAATTATTTCTTGAGTGGCCAATGCAAAAGAGACATTTCTAGTTAATTGGTCAGTGTGTTGGGCTGTATGTACCTCCTGGACAAGGGAGACAGTGGAAGCAGCCACAGACCCTATGATGGTGATCAGTGCAGTAATGCCCAATATTAGAGCTCCAATGAATCGCCTTGGGCATGAGAGCAGAATTAACCTCCTGTACAACCTGTAACTCATAATCATCATACCAAGAAAGGGTTAGTTTAACAGAATCTTCCAGGAGCCCTGCTCTTACAAATGGGGTCTAGATTAGAGGCAATTAATACCAACAGAACATAAGAGGAAGGTGAGTGTAAACAGGAACTTTTCGCTGTTTCCCCAGCTTTCTGGGCAGAGTAAGGACAGTTTATCTTATCGGGCCGGTGATTCCTCAAGCTTCTGCGGTGCGTGTGTAGACCAGCCAGCTTCCCGGGTGTGGCCGAAGCAGGGCTGGAGATCTCAGGGGCCAGTGTCCTTTTGAGGGTCAGTTTAAGCTGGTTGACTGGATCTGGATCACCTTGCCAGGTTGAGGTTTCTTCTGCTGAGTTGGCTTACTTAACTGTAGAGTGATGGGTCCATGGGGTGATGCCTGAAATTTTAAGAGCTGAATCCTTTGGTTATATATCTGTTAAGTACATTTCTAAGTTTTTGAAAGGGGTGACCCTCATCCTTTGAATAAGCAATCAAAGATCTGATAAAGATGAAACCTGAAACTTTTGGTTTTCTTGGCAGACAAAAGAGAAAACCTTTGCTTACATTGTCTTATCAAGAGCAGGTGAACAATACAAGAAAACCTTGTCTTTTGAACAGAGAGAAAAATGGAGTTTTAACCTTATACCAGTGTACTTTTAAAATTCCATTCATCTCAAAAAAAAAAAAAAATTCCATTCATCTCAACCTTAGTCTATCCCGAGCACACAAAAAAATCCTTTTTAAAGATTTTTCTTCGTGAACCTTCTACAATTTTCCTTTGCCTTTAAACTTTGTCCCAAAAGCCATTTCTCTCTAAACAATCAGTCTCATTTAGGACAAAATTACTTTCTTACATACCTCTTATTTTCCTATATACAGGGTTGCTTTCCTTATTTTCCATCAGTCTTAAGTACACGTAGCAGAATTTTAACTCTTAGGAAACCTTAGTCTCCCATTGAGGACTTAGTAACCAACTGAGAGGTGTTTATGCAAGAATTTTCTAGATGGTAAATTCAGGAACCAAGTAAGCACAAACCATGTTTTCCAATAGGTCCAAATAGCCTTACTTTCTCTGCAATAGGAAGTTAAAA